GGGAGGTAGCAGGAATATATAGTCTACCTCCGCCTACAATGCTTAATGCATTATACATTTATTCGCTATTATAACATCGAGTTTTTGTAATGTCTCCGAGGATCATTGTTTCCGTATTTTTTGTTTCATCGGGGTTCTGTAGTATTCAAATGTTTGTATTCCACTAATGCTAAATAATCTGTCCTCTCTCGGATATTGTGGAAGATTTTGTTGATCATGATTTGCTAACATTATATGGGTAGGATATTATGTAGAATACATTTCCCCATAGTGTTAAACCACCCCGTCCTCAGGCTAGGTTCGTTAACGCGGCGGTCGACCCTCCACCTTCCAAGACGCATTTATTATCGACTTCCACGTACTGTGTATTAAAAATAGTTTTTATCGCGTATAAATTAATTTTATATTCTATGTTTAATTAGGCGTATAGTAGGTTCGGTATTTAGGTTCTGTTGGCAATTATTTGCACTTGAAGTATGTGGAGGGTGAAGCATTCACAGTTGCCTGTCCTCAGGCCAGGCGCGCCTACGCGGCCGCCCAACAACAAGTCGCATTCATCAATTTGATCGTAATGGGTATTCAGACTTATTCTCGCGTATAAGGTAATATTATTTCATCAAGTTAATAGTTTAAAAACTACGTTTAGTGACAAGCGACAGTCCTGTGTACAATCCTCCTTCCCAATAGGAGGGAGCGGGGACACCCCTCCAGGAACTGAATTTACCTGAGGGCCACTAACACTAGTGGCCTCGATGAGGACAGTAAGCCGGCGGCTTGTCAAAGGTCCCCCCCATTTGCCCTGATGATCTTTTCCAGCTGTATTTTAAAACAAAGCAGAGTTTTGGCGTTTATGGCTTCGGCGGGTAGGCGGTTCCACGTGTATACAACCCTATGGGTGTAAAAGCATCTCCTGTTTCCTGTCCAACATTCTGGCTTGTTGAGTTTGAACCCGTTGCTCCTTGTTCGTGCAACATCTGACATTTTGAAGACATTGTCCCTGATCGACATCCTCCAAATTGTGTAGTATTTTAAAGGTTTCTATGAAGTCCGCCCTGTCATGCCTGGTTTGTGGTGTTAGCCCTGTGGCCCTCAACCGTTCCTGATACGAGAGATGACTAAGCTATGGTATAATTTTTGTCGTAAGACATAGCTCCATAGCTCTGATAAGAAATGGCTTCAGAGCATCTATCTGAAAATGAGGTCTCCATGCCTGGATGCAATAATTCATGTTGGGGTGCACCAGAAACTTATATATCTACTTTCTTTTCCTTGAAGGTAAAGGCACGCATGATTGTTCCCAGGGTTTGGTTTGCTTTTTACTGCCGCTTCCACTTGTTGTACAACTATCAGTGATTGGTAGATTCTGACTCCAGGATAATGTTGATTTGGTAATTGTGTTGTGTGATGCCTCACGTGATGGATTCTGACTCCAAGGTTCTTCATCTATCTGTTGAAAGGTAGTGCTGTCAATTGAGTAGTTGTGACGTGGATTGTTATGCCCCACATTCAAGGTCTTGCATTTATCGACATTAAAAAGTCATCTGACCATTTGTGGACTTCATGAAGATCTCTGTAAGGTTTCAAATGACTTTCACTTCCCACTTTACGATAGGTCTTAGTGTCATCTGCAATTTGATGTGGTTTGTAATATACTCATCTGTGTCATTGATGTGTATGACAAAAAGGGTTGGCCCCAAAATGGACCCTTTGGCACCCTACTTAGCACACTGGTGGGGGGTTGGATGAGATATTTGCTTCCTAGGCTTGCGGTTACACAACTGGTCGGGGTCTGGTTACACAACTGGTCGGGGTCTGGTTACACAACTGGTCAGGGTCTGGTTACACAACTGGTCGGGGTCTGGTTACACAACTGGTCGGGGTCTGGTTACACAACTGGTCGGGGTCTGGTTACACAACTGGTCGGGGTCTGGTTACACAACTGGTCGGGGTCTGGTTACACAACTGGTCGGGGTCTGGTTACACAACTGGTCGGGGTCTGGTTACACAACTGGTCGGGGTCTGGTTACACAACTGGTCGGGGTCTGGTTACACAACTGGTTGGAGTCTGGTTACACAACTGGTCGGGGTCCGGTTACGCAACTGGTCGGGGTCCAGTTACACAACTGGTCGGGGTCTGGTTACACAACTGGTCGGGCTCCAGGGGGTGTCACTTGGGCTTCGGGTTGTGCATGGTTGTGCTTCAGATGTGCTTTGTTCAGTTCGTTCATGCTAGGTTTGCAGTTACAGAACTGATCATAGTCCGGTTACACAACTGGTCGGGCTCCGGTTACACAACTGGTCGGGCTCCGGTTACATAACTGGTCGGGCTCCGGGGGGTGTCACTTGAGCTTCAGGTTGTGCATGGTCGGGCTTCAGTTCGTGCATGGTTGTGCTTCAGATGTGCTTTGTTCAGTTCGTTCATGCTAGGTTTGCAGTTACAGAACTGATCATAGTCCGGTTACACAACTGGTCGGGCTCCGGTTACACAACTGGTTGGGCTCCGGTTACATAACTGGTCGGGCTCCGGGGGTGTCACTTGGGCTTCGGGTTGTGCATGGTCGGGCTTCAGTTCGTGCATGGTTGTGCTTCAGATGTGCTTTGTTCGGTTCGTTCATGCTAGGTTTGCAGTTACAGAACTGATCATAGTCCGGTTACACAACTGGTCGGGCTCCGGTTACACAACTGGTTGGGCTCCGGTTATATAACTGGTCGGGCTCCGGTTATATAACTGGTCGGGCTCCGGTTACATAACTGGTCGGGCTCCGTGGGTGTCACTTGGGTTCAGGTTGTGCATGGTCGGGCTTCGGTTCGTGTATGGTTGTGCTTCAGATGTTGTTTGTTCGGTTCGTTCATGCTGGGCTTGCGGTTACACAACTGGTTGGGGTCTGGTTACACAACTGGTCGGGTTCCGGTTACACAACTGGTCGGGTTCCGGTTACACAACTGGTCGGGTTCCGGTTACACAACTGGTCGGGCTCCGGTTACACAACTGGTCGGGCTCCGGTTACGTAACTGGTCGGGCTCCGGGGGTGTCATTTGAGCTTCGGGTTGTGCATGGTCGGGCTTCGGTTCGTGCATAGTTGTGCATCAGAGGTTTTGTTCAGTTCATTCATGCTAGGCTTGCAGTTACAAAACTGGTTGGGGTCCGCTTACACAACTGGTCGGGCTTCGGGGTGCACAATAAGCTACCACTCGCTGATTGAATAGGGGATGCTTAATGAACCCTCTACCTATCCACATTGGTGTTCCACTGGGCAGCATACTTTGCCCTCTCCTCTTTCTCATCTACATTAATGACCTTCCAAAGGCCTCTCAACGCCTCAAACCAGTCTTATTTGCTGATGACACAACTTTCATTTTCTCCAGTCCTGACCCTCTTGCCCTAAATGTCATTGTGAATACTGAACTAAATAAAGTCCATCTTTGGCTAATTGCTAACAAACTCACCTTTAACATTGACAAAACTTTCTATATTTTGTTTGGTAATAAATCCTCAAATGAAATTAATCTAAGAATAAACAATGTACTAATCAGTAGTAAAGTTGATGGTAAATTCCTTTGTGTCCTCATCGATAACAAGCTGAATTTCCAGGGACACATTCTAAATATAGCAAAAAAAGTTTCTAAAACTGTTGGCATTCTTTCTAAGATCAGATATTATGTTCCTCGCTCTGCCCTGGTGACGCTCTATTACTCTCTCATCTATCCTTATCTCAACTATGGTATTTGTGCTTGGGGTTCTACTACCCAAATTCATTTACGTCCTCTAATTACCCAACACAAAGCTGCTATTAGAACAATATCTAACTCTGGCCCCAGACAGCACTCGGTACCCCTACTCAAATCTCTGAATATGTTAGATATTAAGTCACTGCACATCCTCTCTTGTGTACTCTATATATTTAAAACTCTGAATTGTAATGTCAATCCTGACCTTCAACGCTTCCTAGAAGGTTGTAACAGAACTCATGGGCACCACACCAGAAACAAATACCTTTTTGATATTCCAAGAGTACGACTTAATCAAACTAGAAATGCTCTACAAATCAAGGGACCCAGAATGTGGAATGACCTTCCCAATCATGTTAAAGATTGTACCTCTCTCAACCAGTTTTAAGATAAAAACTTGTTGAATTATCTGCAGGTGTCTTGCAAATTGTCTATACAGTATACCTAGGTCATAAAAGTATTTGTGTGTACGTCTGATACCATACTCCTTGTGAGGGAGGAAATGTATATTTTTACCTCTCAGAATGTTTGGTAATATGTTTATTTGTGATGTGTGTATATGTATATATTAACACGTTGTACTGAACGGGGTGAGAATAGCTTGAGCTACCTCATCCCTTTGTGTGTATTTTACCTCAATAAACTTATTTCAATTTCAATTTCAATTCAAGATAAAAACTAAGCACTACCTAATTAGCTCCCTGTAACCTACCTTACCCCTATAATGTCAATTTCCCATGTCTGCTTTTTTAAACAATGCTGTTTGTCGACCAAATTGTATTTTTTTTTTCTGCCATGTTCCCCCTTTTTTTTATTTTTATATTTTCTCAACACATTTTATACTTTAATCTCAATTAGTATTAAGTTTTACTCTTCGGCGTTTTCCTGCCCGAAACGCTTTGCGTAATAGTGGCTTTAGGTACTAGCTCTATCTATAAATTCATCAATATTTGTATCACACCTTGTATGTATGTACTTTACCTGAATAAACATTTGAATTTTGAATAGAAATTGAAATTGAAATAAGTTTATTGAGGTAAAATACTCACAAAGGGATGAGGTAGCTCAAGCTATTCTCACCCCGTTCAGTATATCGTCTTAATACATACATATAAACACATCACAAACAATAAACATATTACCAAACATTCTGAGAGATAAACATCTACATTTCCTAATTTTGAATTTGAATGTGACTAAAAAAAATTGGGCTACTTTTATTACAAATTCGCTACTTTTAGACGGTCAGCTCGCTACTTTCAGCAATTAGGATCTGGCAACCCTGGAGGCGGGGGACTCACAACATGGCGGCCGAGCTCGGGAGGACCGTGTGGGAAGGCCGGGACAAAGCCGCCAGTAACGGCCACGAGGAGCTCCTCGTCTTCGGCTATTCCTGCAAACTATTTCGTGACAATGAGAAGGCGTTGTTCCTGGATAAGGGGAAGCATCTTATTCCGTGGATGGGCAACAGCGAACTGATGGTTGACAGGTGAGCCTGAGCCTCCGTCACTTGGGTAGGGGCAACTGTGTGTGTGTGCGCGTTTTGGGCTATTTTGCCTTTATTGGCCAGAAAAAAAAGAGACCTTCGGGCACATCAAAAGGTGCTTGGGGTGCTGACAGTGCTGTACATAAGCTTGTCTTGAAGGTTTAGTTGTTACAAAAATTTTGGGAAGGAAATGTTAAGAGTTTAAGGAGTTTTGTCATAAGCCTCCTGGAGAAGTGTAGCACCGTGCCCAGGGGCCAGGAGTGCCAGCGGCTGGTCCTGTGTGGCACCGTGCCCAGGGGTCAGGAGTGCCAGCGGCTGGTCCTGTGTGGCACCGTGCCCAGGGGTCAGGAGTGCCAGCGGCTGGTCCTGTGTGGCACCGTGCCCAGGGGTCAGGAGTGCCAGCGGCTGGTCCTGTGTGGCACCGTGCCCAGGGGTCAGGAGTGCCAGCGGCTGGTCCTGTGTGGCACCGTGCCCAGGGGTCAGGAGTGCCAGCGGCTGGTCCTGTGTAGCACCGTGCCCAGGGGTCAGGAGTGCCAGCGGCTGGTCCTGTGTGGCACCGTGCCCAGGGGTCAGGAGTGCCAGCGGCTGGTCCTGTGTACACTGATGGCTGGTGAGACTACGTGGCTTACAGCCATTTTGCATCTGGCTAGATATAATGAATATGTTTATGAAACATATTTGCCCGAAACGTTTCGGGCAGAAACGTTTCGTCTGCCCGAAACGCTGTGCATACTTGTGGCTTTACACGATTGTAAATACCATGCTATGTATCCTCACAAACCCAATGTACCTTCTTGTGTATAAATAATAAATAAATATGAAAACTGGTAGCCTATATAAATTGAATGTTCATTGGGTTTATCAGTTTATGTACAGTAGTTTTTTCACTATTACAATACACTTGGCAATATATACTAGACTTTGGAGAAGTGTATGGAAATTTTTGTAAGCCTTTAACTTCCTGGTGGTTATACCTTGATACAGATATGATGTGCGTGGTGCTGTTTGTGACCTGAGTGAAGTAGAGTCGAGCGGTGACGGAGACAGATTGGAGGATATGACGGATGAAGAACGAGCAGAAGAAGAAAGGTGTGATTATGAGCGCTATTTTGCGCTCTATCATGATGAGTTTCAGTACCAAGCTTACCAAGGTGAGTGATCATATTACAACTACGTATTAATACCATTAATGGTTCCAAAAGTGTAAGAAGTATTCCTTGAGTAAAAGTATAAGCAATTTATAATGGGTTTAAAAGGCATTAGTTTCTTTAACTTTAGGAGGAACTATATGTAATTAATATGAACTACAACTATTCCTAAATTAGTTTTGTCAGAAAATAACATTATAAAAGAATTTAAGAGCTTTGTTCATGCTGAAAAAATTGCTTGCTACTTGATTGTGGCATTATTGTAATGCCAGCAGATGCCTCTTGCCTGCTGCCTTAATATGCCCAATGGCATGTTTGTTCTTCAGTAAAATAAATGTAATGCATTTGTTAATTTTTTCATGTAAAGACCCAACTATTTTCATAAGTGTCATCCTTGTATCAGATTTTTGGCTCAATCCTTGCTGCTGCTTGTATCATTCCCAGATTGCATCTTTTGAATAGTCTTAAGGTTCACAGAATTAGCTCAAGTTTCTTTGTAATTTGTATGACAACAGGTTTCCTCTTTGATGTAAAGTTAGATCAAATCTTTTACCTAGACTTCACTTTTGTTGAGAAGATATGTTGACAAGATTGTGATAAATCTTGAATGTGACTTGAGAGTGACAGTTGACGGGGAGGTTACCCCTCGTCTGTCCCAAGTGACTGTTGCCTCACTCATAACCTACCGGCCTTGCCGATTACTATAGACCTACCTTCTTTCTTATACCTCGCAACCCATTACACCCATTTGTTAGTTTATTTACAATGTGCAAATAGAGCGATTATCAACAATATACAAACGAGGTACTTGTGCTGTACCACACAATAAAATAGGTATGCAGATGTCATATGTGACTATTGCCATATAAATACAGTACTACAGTATTTTATTATAAATAAAGAAATTGGATAATTATCAACACTAAAACACAATTTTAGCCCTTGAGTAGTAAGTATTATTTTCTAATTGCTTATGCCTCTAAATTATAGGAAGTGACTATTATTTCCCTTAAATTTTGCTTTGATTTGCCTCGAACAGCTTGGGGGAGATGTCTTCAAGGTTATCTAGAGCTGTCACAAATTGTCACAGATCGAGAGAGGGAATTGGCAATCTTCAAGTATTCTTCTGTAGCTGTCAAAGGCAAAAGTCAAAGCAAATGTTCAAAGGGACTAATATCCATTTGTTATACTTAGTAGGCATAAGCAATTAGAATAGAACAGACTACCCAGAGAGGGGGAAAAAAAAAAGGCTAGAAATGTAATAAAAAATAAAAAACAATAGAATGACATTATATTAAAAAGAAATTTTGGTAAAGGTAGATGCATACTGACGTGAGTACAGCATCTGTGTCTGTCTTTTTTTTATTACATCGTTACTTGAGCTTGCTTATATTAAATGCACACTCCATGGCTTAAAATAATAATTTAATCTCCAGATCTAAGCGAATGAGTCTGTTGTACAATATTGTTCAGTTTAGATTGACGAAAACCTAAGTTTACCAGGTAAACTTGGGAAAAGTTTTCTTATTAGTAATTGAATATTTTTATTGTTTTAACCAAGTGTATTTTATTTCATACAGTCTATAAAATTGTATTATTTTTTTTTATAAATGTAGTCAAAGTGATGGCTTCGAAAAAAAATGGTAACCATATTAAACCAATAAATGGTTTGAATTATTATATTATGTAGAATGTCTGCATTAAATCAACTAGGGCAGAATGTAGAGTTGGCTAAAATTTGTATTTTTACAACTAAAATTTACCATGGCTTTTGAAAATTCTGGTTGTCTATAAAATAAGAATATGGAACACTGGAGAGTAAATGTATCTGAACATACAATATAACATATGATTGATATACAGTATGAATAGTTTTTTCAACTCGTAAAAAAATTAACAGATTAATTGATGCACTTCATTATTAAAAAATTTGTTGTATAATTTATTTCCCGATTTCGGTAATTAAATGAATATTATGAATACACAGAAATCCCATTAATGTGATGTACTGTATATCGATGAACAAGTCCACAGGAGTCTTGATGAAGGTTTGAACCTATGCGCTGGGTGTTCCCAGGTACATAGTACAGTAATAATATTACGAATATTATTTTTACGCAAGGTTTACAATTATATATTTAGTTTTGTTAATACTGTTAACCATGTTATGTCCACCTCTGTTGACCAGACCACACACTAGAAGGTGAAGGGACAACGACGTTTCGGTCCATCCTGGACCATTCTCAAGTCGATGACGATCGACTTGAGAATGGTCCAGGACGGACCGAAACGTCGTCGTCCCTTCACCTTCTAGTGTGTGGTCTGGTCAACATACTTTAGCCACGTTATTGTGACTCATCGCCTCCACCTCTGTTGCATCTAAGATATTATATATACCAACTTTATAGGAGTTGAAAGAAATTAAAGCCTTGATGTTGGTTATATAGTGACCAAACCACACACAAGATGGAGAAACGACGACGTTTCGGTCTGTCCTGGACCATTATCAAGTCGTATCACATACAACTTGACAATGGTCCAAGATGGACCCAAATGTTGTCATTTCTTCATCTTCTGGTGTGTGGTTTGGTCATATCTTTAGCCAAATTATTGTGACTCATCGTTTGGTTATATTGTAATATTTGCTATAAAGCATTTCTGTTTCCATTCCCCTAGATTTTTTCATTAGTTTCATTTAAATTTCTATTTACATATTAAATTTTATGATGCTTTCTCAGATGAAGAAGCCAAGCGATTGATGGCAGAACTTGGTTCAGATGTTTATGCATACAGTCAAGTAGGTTTCAACTACGATGGTCAAGTGCTGGCGACTGAAGCTACTGCTGTAACAGATGAACATGGAGTTGAACCACAGCTTGAGAATGATAACAATCAAAATAATGATCAAGAAGAGCAAAATACAGGATATTTTCCAGATGCCGATGAAGACACATTTGTGCCTCCTCCTGAACTTAATGTTCCTCAAGGAATGATTGTGGTAAGTCGTCAACTTCAGTTATTTTTGTTATAATGGCTGTTCTTTAAGTATGTTTCAATTATTTGCTTTCCTTCTCTTAGTATCCTTGCATATTTTGAGTGATTAGTTTTAATACAAAATATTACAAATTTTTCCCATCTTCCTTAATTAAAAATCAGAATTTGCATAGATCCTGTAATATGGTACCCGAAACTGGACTGCATAGTCAAAGTGAAGTCTCTAAATCTAAAGCCAGACAAATTTGAAAGAAAGCACATGAGCTTTAATACTAATGCTGCTTGATATGAATATTAGTATCTTTTTTTATATTTTTTCAAACATTTATACATTTCTTAGGTTTAGATTTCTACTTGTGACTATGAAGTCATTTTGAGTCCTGCTTCTTATCTATTTGTACTTGGTGTACTCAAATTTGTCACGTTTATACTTGATGCTAAAGAGCACAAAATGCTAACAACAATGTAGAGAAATGCAAAGACGAGTCATCTCGCATTATAATGTTTTACCTATAAGGCCTTTATAAAACCTGAGATTCACATTTAGTGCTTATATAGAGGTTAAATTGGGAGTAAGGTCAGTGATGTTTAGGTCCAACCAACCCCACCCACAACTAAAATTCACAGTCTACCAGTGCCCATCTCATTCAACCACACCCAACCCAACCACTCTACTACAGACCTGTCCTAACAACAGCTACTCCACCCATAACCACTACCTGGAAAGGGTTCTTATAGTTCTTTTACTCCCCAAGCCCGGCCAGGGGCCATGCTCAATTTGTGATAACTTGGTCCAACAGGCTGTTGCTTGAAGTTACCCACTGATGTCCATATAACGGCAACTACTGTACATCCCATCGACCCTATCAACCATATTCCATTCCATCTCGATCAGTCCTCTGAAATACTGCTTTCACCATTTTGAATATTTGTAGTAACCTTTGTATTCAGAGATGCCACGCATTGGGACTGGGGATACTGTCCCGTAATATAACATAGTTTCAATAACTCTTCCAAATCCTTAAGTTTTCTATTTTTCTGTATTTGTATTTTCACTACAATATTAAGATACACTAGGAAGGAATGACTGATCTATATTTTGACATGTTGTATTGTGTGCTATTCTAAAACTATTTGGGAAGCAGAGGTTCAGGGCTGATAAAAAAATGGCATTTATGAATTCTAATATGATGTGGATTTCATGAGAAGAATGACCATATTTAAAACTTCATTTCATTTGTATCCTGGATTGAGAGAGGTTTTTGTTTTGGTCATGTATGAAGAATGGTGGATGAATGAATGGATGGATGGCAAAGAATTAACAAGGATAAAGTACAATTGGTCTAAAGTTGTATATTTGGTATATCTTGGGTCCTGTTGCCTTTTCAAAATTAATATCTGCAGTGTGTTAAATTTAAAACTTTGGATCACATGACATAATAGATCCTTTACATTTTTTTGCAGTTAATGTCATTGACAACAAAACTTTTTTCCCCGCAGCCTGAAACGGTGAAGCAAAACAAGATTATTGTGAAGACTTCCAAGTTCATCGTTGCTCAGGGCGGTCAGATGGAAATAGTTATAAAGACCAAGCAGGCTGGCAACCCTATGTTCAGCTTCTTATCCTTTGACAACCCCCTTAATGCTTATTATAAGCACATGGTGGCAATGATCAAGAATGGCAGGTAAGCATGTTTATTATTTCCACACCTTATTCAGTATTCATATGCAATAGAAGATTAACCCTTTGACTGTTATAAACGGTCACATTTGTTTCACGAAGTACTGTATAGTGATGCTATATTGTGATGAGCGAGCTTACCAAATGTTTGAAAAAGTTTCTTTATCATTTAACTCCTAAAGTGTGGCTCTGAGGAAAAATAGGTGTCAAAGGTGCCTCTGAGGAAAAATAAATAGTTTCATTTTAAGAGTAAGAAAAATGCAAAATGACTCATCCGAGTACATACAGGTAGTTGGTGTTTCACATTGGGATAATGGCAGGTGAGGAGGGTCACTTGGACTGTCGTAATACAATAGTGTTGGCTGAACTTGTCACTGTATTACAACCATATTTATATCATTAGTATAAAAGTCAGGTGATGACTGCATTACCCAGGTGATGAATGTACGGCAGTAACCACACTAGAAGGAAAGGGATTAATGTTTGTCCAGATATCTGACAACAAAACGAGGGGTTTGTTGCCTTGTGCGGTAGATCTAAATGTTATAATATCTTGGCCCCTTTGGAAACTCATGGTTATGGGTGTTATAAAGGTAAATTTTGAGGAAGAAAAGTAAGTGCACTGAGAATGCAATACCGAGAAAGATCAATGTAAGTAAATATTACTTTTCGTTTAAAAAAAAAGGATTATTCCTTGAATTTATTATATGAATTTGGAATAATTATGGCTATGTAGAGTTGCCTAAACATTTTTTATGTACAGTATAGTATACAGTACTTGCACTATTTCTCATTAATTTGATTTTTATTTACAGTAAAAAAAAAATTGTAGGGGGGAAAAGAGGGGGGTTTAGTGTACATTATATGGGAAAAAGTGTGCCTTTTGTTTAATTATATAAAAAGTCAGATTTTTTTTACTTGTTTTATAGCCTGGTATCACATTGTTATCCTTGGGACCATATTCTTCCAGAATTTTAATCCATCTCTTGCGTAATATTTTTGTTTTTATTTTTGTTATAGGTTTCGTCCTGCTGATGAAGTTGAACGTGTGAAGAGTAGAAGGGACAGCGATGGAAATGGGGGTCAGTACCTGCATCCGAGTCTTTCTGCAGGCATTAAGCCAGACCTTGCTCCAGGGACCCCCATCCCTGTTCACAAACCATCTGCAGATTGTGCATATTCGAAGTTAATTCATAAAATAAAGGAGAAGCAAAAAAATTCAGCTGTAGTGGAGAGAATAGACTCTCCTGCACCTGCTTCTCCAATTGTTGCCGTTGTTCCTCCTGCAGCCTCCACGCCTGTATCCACACCTGTTGCAGCAACTGATACCCTTGACCCACACGTTCAGGAGAAAAAGAAAACTATTTCAGATATCACACCAGTTGGATCGCCCAAGGTTACAAGTCTAGTTGACTATCCTTCTTTCAATAGAACCAAAGGATATGATTCTGATGATGAATTGGATGGTAAACCAGACAATTCAAATAGTAATGCTGAAAGCACTAGTGAATATAGCAATATAAAGTGGCCTCCACCAGATGTCCAGATGGTTATTGATAAGATGGCAAGTTATATCATAAAGAATGGCGATGATTTCGAGGCCATGGTGCGCAGTCGAGGTAAGAGTTAAAAAAAAAATGCATGGTACTGTATTTGAATGTAAGACTAGTTGCTGCTTGTGCAATTCCAGAAAGGACATTTAATTTCATTTACACTAAATTTATAGTATAGTACAACCCTTGAAAACATTTCTTGAACAAAACTGTATAATTTAATATTTTAGTCCAATCCAAGTTTTTGAAGATTCATTAATCTGGATCCACTTTGGCTTATTGAGACCTGTTTTATATGCAAAAGTTTCCATTATTAGAAGGTTGCCTTCATTACCTTGCTTGTTGCTTTTAAAGTCTGGAGATCCTTAGTGATGTTCTGAATATAAATGTACTTGTTAGTATTTCATGTTTACTTGGCACTCTTCATTCATGTTTCTTCAGGAATCTGAGAATTTAATATAGAATTAATGGGGAGATGTATAGAGTATACTTCTACTACTGCATTATCTATGGATAATACTGGTATCATTATAGATAAGGCATTAGATATCCATAGATAATGCTACATAAACAACAGCATTATCTTTGAATGCTACAAAACGGTTTTGGGCATCCAAAATAATTTCTGAAATGTTTTTATATTTTACAATTAGATAAGCATTTATACAAGGATTTACATAACCTTGCATATAATTTTTACTGGTAATGGTTTTATAATATATTTTTAGTTTCGAGCGATTTATTGGTTTTGTTGTACGATCTTTCATTATTGTTAATTAATCTTGATATTATTTTTGTAGATGATCCCAGATTCAGCTTCCTTAAAAAAGATCACGAGTACTTTCCATACTACCGCTGCAAGATTCGCTTATACAATGAAGTGTATGGAGATATCTTCAAGGAGGGTGGAGAGGTAAGAATATTGGCTGGCTGTCTTAATCCAAATTGTATTCATTATCTCTTCTGTATTTGTTGGCATTTAAGATGCATTTTATAATTATACAGTCCCCGTGGTGTAGTGGTTAAGACGCTCACCTGGCACTTCACGAGCACTTTGTCCTGGGTTCGTATCCTGGCCGGGGAGGATTTACTGGGCGCAAATCCTTAACTGTAGCCTCTGTTTAACTCAACAGTAAAATGGGTACTTGGTTGTTAAACGATTTTTCGTGGGGTCGTATTCCAGGGAATAGGGATTAAGGACTTGCCTGAAATGCTACGCATACTAGTGGCTGTACAAGAACGTAAGAACTTGTATATATAAATAAATGAACTCTTGTATATCGTCTGCATCTGTATTGTATATTTATGCTTTCTACATAAAACAACTTGCCCTATTAAATATTGTATAGTTACATGGGCATACTGTGTTGAGTTACAGAAGGAGACTTGAACTTGTGCTCTAAATGTTAATTTCTTTATTTTTAGCATAGTGTACACCCTGACAAATACCCATCACTGGGTAGCAATGAAGGAGGAATTGGAGGAGAAAACGGTGCTGGTGGCAGCACCGGCAGTGCAGTAGTAGGGTGTGGCAGTGTTGGATTGAACAGTGGCGGCAACAATGGTGCTAGCAGCAGCAGTAGCAACAACAAAAAGGAAAAACGTGTTAACAGCAAGCAGCCCTCTACCATTAGCTTTTCAATTAAATCTCGGGAGCAAGAAGTTAACCTTGATCGTCATTCCACTTTCCCCGTGGAATCTTCCTCGTCAGATGATGAAGATCTGGACGAAGATGAAAGAGAACGAAGAAGAATAGAAAGAGAAGAGAGGAGGAGGAAAAGAAAAGTAAAAGAGAAGGAAGAGAGAGAGAGACGTGATCGGGAAGAAAGAGAGCGCAGAGAAAAGGAAGAGCGTGAAAAGATGATGGAAAAGACGGAAGAGTCGACAGATGCATCCGGTGATAATGAGGATGTTTATGACATCTTTAAATATGGTAAGTTACTAGCTCCTATTTATTTTATTATTGTACTATTAATTTCTATTGGTTTGGTTATATTAAATATATACAGTTAGGATTTGGTTATATTAAATATATACAGTTTGGTTATATTAAATATATATTGTTAGGATTTTTATAAAAGGTTTTGACCATTTTAAGAATGTCCAACTGAATTTCCAATTAAAAGAATAAGTGGCAAGTTTTTTTATCTAAAGTTTTTCTTATGATTTGTGATATTTAAATACATTATAAGTATATCAAAGTTCATCATTGTAATTGGAAGCTTCACAAACCGTTAAACGGAAATGTTTCATAAATTAGCTAAATTTTCATTTTCTATTTAACCGTACTGTACTCTTTAACACAATAATACTCTGCCTCTCAGATTTGTAGTAGTTTTAGATGGAATATTTATACAATTTGAAGATTATATATGCAGTATTATATATATAATAGATATATCTATTATATATATTTTTTACAGGTGTAGCGTGTTCTTGCTTGTCATGCCTACTTTGTTTTTAATTGGCTTCAACCACCTCTTCCTGGTGCACATTTGACATGCTCCCTGTCATGTACAATGAAGGGGTACTGTATTAGAATCTTGGTCATTAATTTGTAGTTTCCATCTGTGTCCTTAAGGCTACTATTCATCTGGACTAGATGGTTTCTATCTAATTTGTCAATGTGTGTCGGTATTGTCGTGACTCCTAAATCTGCTTACCGCTAGTGTTATTTAATTCTGTGAGCTCTGGGTCTTTAGTGATGTTTATCAGAGGCTTTTTTTTCGCCACTGTCAATTTATGCATGTGCTGCAAACTCGGTGGGGTCTAACACACATACTGTATAGTGTGTATTTAGTTTGGGAGGGTGGGGAATGGAGAATGAATTGTCATGATCCCAACCATTATCTTTCTCTACTTGCCATTCCCAGTATTTTGGTAGTACATTTAAGTTAATTATCTACTGTATTTTTTTCCCCTCAAAAGTCAGAATTTCTGTTGCAGTAGGGCTAAAGTTTCCCCTTCTGTTCCTTCCTTTGTACAACATCTACCTTGTTATATATTCAAGGGAAAACTGCATTCTCTTTAGACTTTTAAGTTTAGTCATTATTGCAATATGTGGCTGTCATTATGGCATCTTGGTAGTTTTGCTTCTTTTTCTCTTCCATCTGCGTTTGTGTACATCCACTGCTGTGCAAATCTCTTGGGGCTATTTAGTTTCTGCTCAATGTGTAGAATTTGATTGGTGTATGCCTAATATGGAAGAGGAGGAGGGGAGCTACTGGTATATTTTGTGGTGGTCATTTCCACCTGTTCTGTGGAAGTGATGCTGCTGGCTGGGTGGATTCGTTTATTTAGTTGTGGTGGAGGTTCCACTGCTTGTACATTGCATGTCATTTTCTGATCCTTTTGCATTTTGATGTGATTTTCCTGGCTTTTTCTGTGGTTTCCTGTATTCATATTCTTTTCATAGTTTTTGAAGATTGTAGTGTTTATATATACTACCCTCTGTTGTCTACCATTGTGTATGTATGTAGATTACTGTATATACTGCATATATAATTTTTTTAAATGCTACATTTTGAGTTGACTTGTTACTCCTAATGTTACCATAAAGATAGGAAGTATAATGGAGAATAATCATTGCCAGTTACATTTATTATGCTATAAATAGAATGCAATATATCTTTTTCCCACCAAGTACTTCCATGACACTAGTCATGCATTTTCTTCTGTGCAGAACAACATTTTTGATCAAGAGATGTATGTATGTACTGGTGTTGATCTTCTGGTTAACTTGGTCTTCACCTAAGTGAAATTAGCTTTCTCTTTTATCTAGTACAGGTGGTTTTGGAAAGTTATTTGTTGCCACCACTTTAGGCCTGTTAGAAAAGCCTTTACCAAATTGACCGATTTAGTCAAGTAATATGGACTTGCAGTTGGGGGATAAAGCTTATAATAATGAAGATTAGTTGCTTGTCATGGTCACTTAGATCTTTCTCCCAGGGAACTGCTGTACGTATTTTGTATAAAAAAAAAACTTTAATGAAATAAGGTAATAGTTGTTGCCAAACTATAACAGTCTGTCGGCATAGTGTAGCCTACTGTTGTTCCACAAAAGATTTTCCGATATATGTTGTGTTCTCTTGCTGCTGAATGATGTTCTTACCACTGTCGTTGCTAAGGGAGTAGAGTAAAGAATAAGAATGTCCTGGAAAGTTGTGGTGTCCAAAAGTCAGTAAATTTTGGGTTGAGAGTTTAGGATTTGGTTATAATGAATAAAGTGGTCAGGTGGGTGTTAGTTTATTTGATGGTAGGAGGAGAGGAAAGTATGATGCATGCTTGGTATCGTACATTCATGCTTGGTGTTTGATGAGAGCCAGGATGGGATGTGAAGTGTGCAAGAGCTGTTAAGGTTTGGGAGGGAAGAGGAGACCAAGAGGACTGACTGTACAGTTTGAGAGGGAGACAAGTATAGGAAATGGAGAAAAATGACCTTGGAGTGGGTATAATGGCTATCTTCAGAGTTGCATGTTGACAGCAGCATATGCAAAATTATCAAACACATGTATAGCTTTTAAAAACTTTTGGCAGAAATGTTTCAAAATACAATTCACATAAAACACATCTAAAATAGGCTTTTCTATTTGAAAGACAACAGAACAAGTGGTCACAGGTGTAGGTTGGAAATGCAAGAGCCAGAAAAATGTAAGGGAAAGTTCATTTATGAAGTGAGAGAGGTGAAATTGGAATTGATGACATTGGTGGTGGAAACCATCACAATTCACAGCTTCAAGAGCAAGCAGAACAGTATGGAACATTGGAAAGAGTAAATGTATCAGGTTCAAGTGGCAGGAGTTAGTTTGATCTCACTCCTTGTACACACCCAGGTAAGCGCCACACCACCATCACGCCCGTACCAGCAGACCAGTCTCTTAACGTGCATTCCATAATAAGTACAATACTAGAAAATATCATTATGGAGTGAATGGTAGAGCATTTGAAAAAAGGTCTAAAATTTAATACATATGAATTTAGAGGGAGTTAAGGTAAACTTAAGCGTTCTATGGCAAGGGAAGTAGATTTCATCTTCTTTGACTGCCAATTACCATTGGATATGGTTCCTTACAAAATGCTTCAATAACTAGAAATATACACTTAGCATAGTTGTTTCGTTCTTGACTCGCAATGGGGGAGAGGGGTTTCTTGGTTTGATATCTGGGTGGGACAAGTGGTTGGGTACATTTCCTTTCACCTAATGCCTTTGTTCACATGACATAAAACAAATACAATACCTAGAAATTGGGTAACTATTGTGGGGTTACATCCTAGTGAAAGTCGGTATGATGAGGAAATACATTGTGATATGTCGATGAGAAAATAAATGGGTAATGAGGAGATTCAAATCCTCTACCTGGGTATTCCAAAGCCTCTCGCCATACCTCTGGACCACTACATGGTATAAGTTATACAGCTTGGGATTCGGAGTCCACAGAACACTGTAGGATTCAGTAGGAGCCTCCAGATGTCCTTTGGACTTGTTGAAATCCCAGGTTCTACAGTACAATATAACTTGCACAATGTTGTCGTTCAGAGATAAACAAAGTCGGTAGTTCGATCTGGGAGTGTGTACCTTGATAAGTTATATGTATGTATACACACAGGCTTTCTGTCCCCAACAATAATTTATGAATTAAACTGTGTATGAGAGCATATATTGAACATGCCGTGAGTAATGTATTTAGCAAACAGAAAAAAAAAATTAATATAAAAATAAATTCTATTAGGTATGTATTTATAAGATGAGGGTTCCTCGGTATAAAGAAAAATATTTTATGGGTTTCCTCAATGGTATAAAGGTTGTGAATCGGGCCTCTATGATGCAATTACACATACACGTTATTGTTATCCTGTTTCCTACATTCCTGGGGTGAGGAGGCATTTTCCCAGAGGAAAAAAGGTGAATACTGTAATATAGGAGGCAGCAGCTATAGATGCTGTGTTTAATAAATTATTTAAATTATTACTCCAGTCATCATCCACAATAAGTCTGAAACAAATTCCTCTTTACTACAGCATTCATCTGCAGCATTACCCCACCACTTTATAAGACAAGGTATACAGTGCCTCTTGTGAATTGTCATATACAATTCTCATACACAATTTCACTCCATGCCAGAAAAAAAAAGTATTACCATATCTTGTGTGTTGTCTGTCCATGCTCCCTGCTTCATGTTGTCTGATCATCTGGCTTTCCTCACTACCTCCACTTATAGGCATGTAGGCAATTCATCACTACTTTGTCATCCCTTCATTGTAAATGCCAAAACCATCTCGGTATGCTCTTCTTGGTCTCGCAATTTATTGACTTCTCCAAGTGAGGACCACATTCTTCTCAAATTATCCATTTACTTGACACTGTTGTTTTTGTTTATGTGAAATGAACTTAAGAATCGGTCTTGTTTACAAGTCGACATGTCTATTTCTTAATGCAGCCTTCTTACCTTGTTTGTGCTAAGTAGGACTCTTCTTTCACAAGCTACTTTCAACTATGGTTCTTCAATGTTTTTTTTATCAATCACACAATTCACCTCTCGAGCACCATAGCTACTATAGTTCACATTCACTTCTCGGTCATCACCAATATCTCAACCCCTAAGTTATTTATTTAAAAGTTATTTAAGACCTACATTTAGGTACACATTGTAGAGGGGGGGGGTGGAAGTATTGGAAAAACCCCATAAGGATCAATTGCATAGTAATTTGAGCACGATTGGATCAGTGTAAGGGTTTACACTGTTTCATGATGCAAAACTAGATATAAATATACATCCGAGACAGAAGTGGGAGGTGGGGAGGATATATATTTAGTTGGAATCTCTCGTGAATTATATACATCTTGCAGGATTTCATTGAAAGTTGAATTTGAACAAAGAAAACCAATAGTTACTGCTAGTGCTTGCCACTTGAAGTCTCCGTGCTGCATTTGCATAAATTGCATAGTATTATCACTGCCTATCCCCCTCTATTTAAATAAAAATTGGTTTGAACTTTACTAGTGAGGTCGTAGTATTGACAGTCTGCTAAGGGAAATCATCATGAAAATGCTACCTTGAATTCTCTGGTTTTTATATTGGATGTATGAATCGATTAATAAGAATTGTGTAGAAACTTTGTGAGGATCGCCAGTTTTATTGTAGTGAAACTTCAGAGTATTTTTTCTTGAACCTCGACAAAAAAGCATGCAAATTAAACATAAGCTGTTTTATTCTACAGTAATAATTCATGTAGTAGTCTGCTTGTGTGTGTTTGAAAGCAGAGGCAGTTGCACCTGGTAGTTGGGTTTACTGTGAGCAAATATGCAGTATATTCGAGAACAGATGGTTTTTAGACGACGAGACAAATTACTATGGTGTAAAAATAATTGTAAAAAGAGATGGCCAAAAAGGGGCTTACTAATGATTGAATAAAATAAGGTTTTGCAGAATTATCCTGAGATTAAATGAAGAAGAATGAGACCATGATTTCAATTTTATAACTGCAGATCGAAAGTCGACAAGAGCACAAGAGTTGAAGATAAGGAAACGCTGCATCATAGGCTCAATTTTTTACCTTGTAATTATAAAAAATGTTATTTAACAAAAATTAGACATGTGATAAGACAGTGGGCAGACATATACGTGCAAACATGTTAGGTAGTGGTGCCATATTTGCAAGATGGGGGAGGACTTTTGAGTCATTTTTATTGTTAGCCAGTGGGCACGTCTTTGAAAGGATTCAGGTGTCACACCTTTGCCCTGCTTTAACAATCGGTTTTTAATTGCTTCACTACGTCCTTTAGTGATTATAGTGATATGACGTACAATACACCCTCGTGTTGAGGGAGATATTTAGTGGATTTTACATAGCCAAGACAAGGAACTGCATAGTGACGAGCTGCAAGATACTGCACAGGATCTGGTGAGTATTTGTTCATTTTTATCAATAATGTAGAATTAAGCAATATCCTCAAATGTGACTGACCTTGTGTAAGTTTAGATAAATATATTGACTTGGTCTTGAGCAAATTAAGTAACTGCATTGTGTTGAAGGTTATATAGAACAAAATATTATATTCAACACTTGCCAAATGATTTGGGTAAAAGAGAAGTGCACAGTCAAGTAGCTTTCAGCTTTTCATACAACATACCACTATAACATACATGGAATATAAATAATCTGCTATACAAGTTGCAACACCAGTTTTCAGTACTGTATAAGAGCTAAAATAGAAATGTCAGCGGCAGAAATTTAACTAATAACTAAGCATAGCTAAATGCTAACAAATTATCCATTTTGTATCGGTCTCAATAAAGAGTACCGATATTCAGTATTTACTTTTGGAAAGTGATTGGTTATACAAAATTTTTTTTAATGTAAATGATTTAATGTTTCTATGAGTTTTCAACCATTATGAATTGTTAGATGTTGAAGGGAGCAAATGGTAATTTTAAATGTTAAGGTTGTGTTCTTGCATCCCTGTTATTTTGCTAGTTGGGGTAGACTGTAGAAGTCATTGGTGTCTAATATGTTCAGCCAAATTGGCAGCCTTCTACTTCTTTGTCCAAAATTTTCTGACAGTCCTATTTTCGGAATTGGTGGCCTCCTTGGGGTTATTGTGATTTTAAGTGCAGTTCCATGCAACTGGTTGTCATGGGTTCTAAATTGGGGTTGCTGATGATTTGATGTCTTGTTAATTTTATAATTTTATTACATAGTACAATTTTTTTGTTGACCTATGTACAAGGGATCATTTCTCTTCCATACTTTCATGTCATAAGAAATTGCTAAAGAATACAAAGGCGCTGAAAGCATCTTGGAGGGGTTGCACCTGTTTCTACCACTTAATTTGGATCATAGTAGTAGTACTACAACTTGAATTTAGCAGTTTTGATCCCAAGGAAAGGTGAAATAGTTGATTGTGCAAGCAGTGATATCAATGTAAGTGGAAATGATTAATATATATGATCTTTAGCTTAGTGATATATATTTTGAAAGGAGATAAAATGTTTTTTTTAAATCCACAAGGTCTATGAATGACTAATTTGTTCCACATCACAGATACCATTTTCTGCAGGTCATTCAGAATTTTGCCACCTGGAAAATTGACTAGATGTGTTTATATATATTGGCTTAGGTGTGTGTTGCATTAAAATTAGTGGTGAGTGTATTGATAGAAAGTAAGTTATTAAAATGTACACACATTATTTGTAATTTGTTTTTTAAAAGGCTTGAATTTTTTGTCCATAGCACAAGAGATGGGTAATGAAGCTGATGCAGAAGAACACACTCGCAGTGAAAAACTTCATGACGACGAACGCTCTAGAGACAGCAGCATTGGGTTGCATCATGATAAATCTCACAGCATATCACCTGGGCCCTCTCGCAGCTCACCCCGCGTGTCTCATCCCGAGAGAAAACAGCAAGAAAGGAGGAAGAAAGCAGCCATGTTCCTTTCCCGCCTGAAGAAAAATGGAGAAGAGGAAGTGCCTGTACAGCCTGTTTATGGTGAGGATTTTTTAATTTTGAGGTTGTATAGCATTAAGGTGTAGACCAAACCACGCACGAGAAAGTGAAGGGACGACGACGTTTTGGTCCATCCTGGACCATTCTCAAGTCAATTGTGTGAGAATGATTTTAGAACGATACACACACACACACACATACACAATCGACTTTAGAATGGTCCAGGACGGACCGAAACGTCGTCGTCCCTTCACTTTTTAGTGTGTGGTTTGGTCAACATATTTAAGCCACGTTATTGTGACGCCTTGTCTGCATTAAGGTGTACCTTGAGGGGGGCCAGCCAGTCACATTTACAGAGAACAGTATTGTACTGTATTTTCAAAGCTATATTTCTTTGATATTTAGCTTTTTGAAATATAAACATGGTTACCTTTACTATGAACTAAGTTAAACTGAAAATATGTATACATACATTTTTTTTTTTTAACGACTATTACTGCAGTTATTTTTTCAGGATCTTCTTGATACCTGGTTAATGGGGTTCTGGGCAATAGTTGACTAAAAATGGGGTATGGAAACATGGTACTAAAATAACATACTGTTGGTAAAATACATCCCCTTGGCTGTATGGTACAGATAGGTTAGTAGGTATAGTCCTAACCTGAAGGTGGTGAAGGGTAGGGAAGATGGTGAAGAAGAGGGAAGTTTATAGATGGGGAATGCAGTTAGTGATTAGAATGATCAGTGTAGTGTAGATGGGGTTAATGATGAGGATGGTCAGTATAGTGTAGAAGGGTTATAGTGATGAGGATAATGTGTAGTGAAGGTGGGCCTTCACTTAAATCTTAGCTGTACAATTTCATTGTTGTGGATTTATGACCTATATTTTTCTTTACAGGACCACAGCTGCCACCAGAAATGGCTGCTCAGATATTGAACTCTGCTTCACAGTCGCCACGCTCTTCACTTGCAAGCACTAGACACTCTTCCCCATCACGATCTCGATCTCACTCGACCAGTCCTGGACCCGGAATCCCCATGCCCCCGAGAGAGGCACCAGCCCCTCCACCACCGCCACCTGCTCAGTCTCCCTCACCTTCTAGGGGAACAGAAATGCTCGATTCATTCTCTGGCATTGCAAAAAATAATTGGTAAATATGTACTTTTTTTAATTGCAATACAATTCTATGTTTATCATTTACCTTGGTATTGTAATCATCCCTACTTCTCTTTCAAATCCTTTTTTGCTTCTCCATCTCTTCCTCTTATTGGTTAATCAAATGAAACATAATGGAAGACAGGGAATGAACGTTTACATTTTTTTCTTTGTAACTGTTTGATAGTATGATGCATTACATATTTCAGCTTATTATTTTTAAATATAATCAACCTGCATTTTATTGCATCAAAAGTTATGTTCAGTATATAATTTTATATTAAAAAAATAGCAGAAATAGTCTTGCCTCTGTGCAAGCCATTACAGTTTACTTAATTTTAATTTGTACCCAGGAATTGTTTATAAATGATGTATTTATGTATTTATCTTGTGTACTAGATGGTTAACCAAAAAACTGGTGGATACAAAAACTGCATGCTGCTGCTGTGGAAGTTTTGCCTAAGGATGATTTTTTGTTTTAATAAAGTATTTAAATCATAACATGGGGCTCTTCCAAAGAAAACAGATACTGTGTACTAATGAAACTTTGGTTGTTCCTCTTAAAGCAATAATGATTCGTAAGTAGTCAAAGACTGTCAACTTTACCCGATGTTTTGGGAATTTCTTGTCTAAATTCTAATATATGAAATGTATTCAACACTTAGATTATTTTTGGCACTTTGTAAATTCAAAGAGAAATGCTAATACAAATTTACATTAAGTATTAAATAACACTGATTTTGGGAGAATTACTTCGTGTACATTAAGCACATAAGTGGTTGATAAGTGTCATTCGTAATTATTCATATTTTGTGTGGTGACGCTAAAGGTTGTATCAGACCTGAATTTCTGAAAATTCCTCCCCTTAACCATTCATTAGTGATGACGACAAAATTCTAGAAATGCACAAGCAGGGTATTGTGAACTGAACTCATCAGGGGTCTAATCGGATCACATCAACAAACTGCCCTATCGCTCGTGATCATTCAGGCTGAATGTATTTTCTCATCACTTTGCAGATTATATGACGAAAAAATGATGCAAGCCATTTCTCTTTTCACAGCACTAAGATCAGTAGTTTGTGAACCGATCCATACAGTATTTGTTTATGATAAATAACTAGAAATAGTTTGCTCATAAACTCGTATATTCCTTGACACAATGCTTAAGCTAATATGTATACCATTTTTATCCATGTTTACTGTGGAGCATTAATTTCTGAATGGCAGAAGTCTTCATTTTGAAGACTTCATTATTGTGCAAAATAATGACTATAAATCTTATTTTTGTTCTCTCTTTTAGGGCCTCCATTCCAGAGCCTCCAGTTGGTACTGAGTTAGTAGAGCGGTCTAAAACTGCAAACGTGAAAGAGGCAACTGTTTTGTCGGGTATGTATACCTGTAATATGTTATGCTACATTCTCCTCCTCAGGGCTGTGGTGTGCCTCTAGGGTCACTTAATACTCAGCAAGAGAAAGAATGAGAAAGCTTCTTGAACATGGAAGAGATTCCTCATTTGTATATCCAAAGTGACAGTCAGCGTTCAAGAAGGTTTCATCTCTTACTTAATCACTTTCAGTCTGATCTTGCTGAAAAGCATTTTCAACAGTTTTAAGACTTAAAGATTTTGAATTTTTTAAAGTTTGTCTGCAGCAAATGTTACCTCACAAACGAGTAACCTTAGTCCAATGTGTGTGTAAATATGTTTAGTCGTTGTTTTGAGAGGGGACTTGCTGCAGGTAGACATTTCATGGGGCTAAGTGTCCCTCATATGCTGCAGTTATCTATGGTCTTTTTGACTTGTTGCAGATGTGTTGCAGTGGCTCTCTGCTGTTGATATTTCACCGTGGGCAGCCGTGCAGGTGTAGGTACGAATCGCCAACAGAGAACTACATTTATTCTTCCGGTAGCCTGTGCAGAATAATTAGCTGCTCAGTGCTATAGTTATTACGAGGGGTTAAGATCTTGGATCTTTTAATGTGGTGCTTAGGACTTGGATGAGAATCCAGCTTGATTCCTTGCATCTTCAGTGACATAATTCGATGACAACAAGAATTGCGGGCAACCATGATAGTGACTGATGGTAGTGAAGGGGTAATGTGCTGCTGAACCTAGATCCCCCACAACCTCCCATTCCTACACATTTCTTCCTTTTATTATGTCAGTGTTCAGGTCCTTTGGGTCGCCACCGTGTGTTCTTACCAGACCGGGTAAGTTCAGGTAAGTAAATCCTCAGTCCGATAGAATGAATGTCAGTTTTTCAATATAGGATACAAGGCGTTAATTTCTCAAAAGACCAGGTACTAGTAGTATTTTTTTTGTAGTTAAGATTATCTTAGATAGATCTGTTGGTTATGTTTCTTTTGTGTTTAGTCTAAAATAATTATTCATATTGTACTGATTGGTCTCTTGAGAACACCATTTATGTGGATGATTGGTTTACAAAAAAAAAGTAAATAATTATATCAAATTCTTTTCTGCTTCAAGTGTGTGAATATCAGTGTGCTACTTGTATGGGCAATAGGGCAAAAATAAAAAGTGGTGAATGAAAACTGCATCTTTAGACTAATGTGTGACTATAATTAATTACCAGCAGAAGATTCATGTATCTATCTGTTCACAGGGACAAGCGAGGATGGGTGTAGAAGTCAAAGTTTGGAAAGTAGGAGAAGCAAGTCCCGGCCAATAGAAGTGCCTCACCGGGAAAAGTAAGAAATCTATTTTTTTAAAGTCTTAATTATGAGTATTAATTTAATGTAATTCAGATATGGTCCAGGTAATGCCATGTAAACGTATCCGACTTCGGTGAATGAAGGGTGGTGGCCCTTTGCTTTTTGCAGTGGTTATGTTTTCGTAAACTGAGAAAATGTGTACAAAAAATAAAAGGTTTATTTATGTGGTAAAAATAGGATGATGTGCCAGAGACTTTCAAAACTTCACTTTAGTTTGAAAAATAATTGCACTCCTTAATGCTCCCTCAATTTTCCAGCAACATATACAACATATAATATTCTTAAAATGATTGGAAAGTGCAGTGTTAGAAGCATACTTAATGTGATCAACTATATTGCACACAAATCTGTTCCTAGCATACCTCAATGGAAGTGTCTTGCAACCCACTCTTTTGATACTATTCTGTCAGCAATATTGTCCAGAAATATATAAAACACTGATAGGAAATGCCAAGTTGTAATTTGACAATTGCATGACTGTGATACATGATTACCTCATCGGTAATGAGCAATTAAAAAAGATGGCAAAATTTCTCTGTGGTTTTGTTAACTTTTGTTTATATAGATGTATAACCATATTTACTTTCGTATCAGAAATTGGGCAATAACAACTAGAAATTAAAATTAATGTATGGTGGTAACCTCATTACTCTGGGAATCAACAATAACTGCACTTTTAATGGATAAATCAAATGTTAATAGTGTACTTTGTAAATTGATTTTTCATGTACAGTATATGGAAAAGCACTATTTCATATTACAAACATAACAAATGGTGAAAAATTACTGGCTTAACACTTTTTGGTGATAACCTAATTTTTAGTTTTAACGACATTGGAAAGAATGCGTAATTTTCTGTATAAAAATATAAAAAATTAAATTACAGTATTAACATTTTTTAGCTCTATTAATACCTAAGAAGCAGAAGGGGCAACAGCTAAATGGTTAATGCAGGATTTATTTGTGGCTTGTTAAATAATCAAAGCAGATTTTAAGTATATATTTTTTCCTGTTTAGAACACGAAGTCGTAAGAAGCAGCGTCACGGACGGTCAGAAAGTCGCTCTCCCAGTAGTCGGCGAGATAAAAAGAAGCGGAAGAGATCGAGGTCAAGGTCACGTAGGCACAAGAAACGTCGCTCTCGCTCTAGGTCTCCCAAAACTCACAGGTGTGTATGAAGACAATTTTGATGACTGACTTAATCTATTTTGCAGTCTATCTTGAAAGTACAGTATAAGCAAATATAGTAGTATTGTATATATTTGACAAAAGGATGATAAAATTCCTTGGTCTTATTCCAAATCTTTATCCGAGTATCCTTTCCAAGTACTATTTAGTCATAATGGGCTATTGTTTTATCCTAATAATTATCTTTCCTTAGTAAATGGTTTTGGTGTTTTAAATATTTGTTTGTGTGTATAACAAAAGACAAATTTAGTGCCTAAATATGTTAGATACGCATTAATCTAAATATTAATTCCCTATACAGCCGGTCATCTCACAAGAAGAAGCGCCGCAAGCACAGTACTCGTCATGAACGAGGGGACAGAAGGAGCAAAAAGTCGCGTAGACGGAGCGTTTCATCCTCATCGTCAGATTCCTCTGGTCCTTCCTCCTCCTCCTCTAGTTCCACAACGCCATCAGATAATGAAGTACAAGTAATGTAAGTGCTGTAGCTTAATCTTATGATTTTATACAAAAAAATTTTGTAAGTTTTGTTGAGGAGCCATCTCGAGCTATATTAGTGAAATGTATATTTAATTTTGCCTTTTAAACGCTTAATGGCACATCTATTTAAAAGTATGGATTACATTGAGGTGTTCATGACTGAAAATATGTAACAAATCAAATTTAGAAAAATTGCATTTGGTGATTTGAACAGTGTAAGGGTTGAGAGAACACATTTTAAAATAACTAAAAAATTTAAGTGGTTGTTGTGAGAAAACTCACTAAATATAATTATAACAAAATTCTGTGGTTCATTTTCAGTGTTGGATAAAATTTATTTAAACAAATTGTTATAAATCTTATACAAAACGTTTTAATTTCTATATATTACAATTTTCAGAATGGTTTAAAAGTAGGGTAAAAACTTTGTTAATTTCCAAAACGTACAGCAAATTTATATTATTTTTTTATCCAAGAGCTGCATCAGTCACATCAAGCCTTAGTCACTCGATGAATAGGCTCTTAACACTTTCGCTCACCCCGCGCGCCACCCCTCGACAGGGCGATATGGGCCCCAGAGTGTCACGGAAGCGCGCGTTAATTCCGAAAAGTGTATACTCTCTTCAACTTTGTCACCTCAATTCTCCTTCTACGAGATTAAATTTGGTATCATTGTGTTCGCAATAAAATTCTCTACAGCACTAAATGCATATAAACTCCAAAAGCCCGGCTAATTACCCGCAGCAAACAGAGAAAGTGCGAACGAGTTACCCGGGAGCGCGCAAACGGGATAAAATGTTTTCACTATTTTCACTCTGGTCACCTCAATTTTTGTCCTAGGTCTTTCATTTTGGTCTCAATGGGTTCGTAATAAAATTCTCTAGAGGAACATTAGCCTATAAAAAAAAAAACCTGGTCACGCTCCAACCGCCGACGAGTTGAAGACGGGCCACGTGTTAGCCGTGAGTGAGTGCTCAGAGGCCTTCCTGCTACACTCCCAATTCCTACCCTTTTCAAGCCTTTCTTTCGCAATTTTCTTCCTGGAAGGGCCTTGTTCATGATTACTATCCATCGTGGAGTAAGCGTAGATAGTTTCTAAAGCCGCAGTAAGAAATATAGCCACGGAAAATAGCCGAAATGTTCACTCGTTTGAGATGCGAGGGGAAGCGACATTGGTCACAACAGTGGAGCAAAGACAATGGGCCCACGGCGTGTGCCAAGCAGCCTGAGGGCGACGAGGCTCAACAAAGAAAATGGGAAGACATCGGCGCACATTTTAAAACCAGTCCCCAAAAAATTGGATAAAAACCTGATTTTTGGCGAATTTTTAAAGTGGATGACGCAATGCTGCGTCATCCCCGGCATTACCGCCAGTAAACGGATGACGCAATGCTGCGTCATCCCCGAGCGAAAGTGTTAAGATTAAATAATTGTCTGGTCAATGTTTCACTCTTGAGTTGAAGAAAGTATATTAATTTAAAATTTAGTTAGCCTTTATTAATACAATAGGATAATTGCCTCAACTTTTGCTCATTTCTTTCTTAAGAGAGTCTCCAGTCCACAGCAAGAGAGAATCCCGGGCTTCAAGTGTGGTCAGTGTTGGCCCTTCTGACCTCTCTCATCTTGGGTAAGAATTCTGCCTTTCTTAAATTTAGCCGTTGTGGAACATTGCTTAGTTTTTAGTTGACAAATATTATCATGAAGCCAAGCAGTGTTTGGTTTAGGTAATGAACAACAAGCTTGGTGAATGAAAACATGTCATTAAGGTTCAAATCATATGGCATTTGTCTGAAGTGATTCCTTGCCACTTAATCTTTTAGTGTAAGCAAATGATGATGATCACTTAGATCATCATCACATGTGATAATCAAACTAACGTGTAAAATTCTTTGGAGAGTTCCAGTTGTTCCCTCAAAAATGCACATGTAGGCATGTGAAATGTCAAGAGAACACAAGAGGCCTATCTTTCATGAAATAGGAATTCCCTTGTAACAAGGCTTTTACTTTTAGACGTGTAGGTTTATGGGTACAAACACCCTTTCAAAAGGGGACATGACTCTTAAGATGATGCATGATATAAATAAGTAAATATAATAAAATGAAGGTTAAAGATCATAAAATATTTTGATAATTACATAATATATAGCTTGACTGCATACATTTTTAGACCTATTAGCAATTAACCCTGCATATATTCTTCTCCCAGTTCATCGTTCAACAGAATTGCTGAAGAATGCATATCACTTCCATCCACGCCTCCCTTACCGCCAGTACCTGCAAGTCCTGTTACTGCTCGCCTTGCTCCCATTGCAGAAGAGAAACCCGGAAATGGTGATAGTCTTGATGTGGCAGGAAGTGACGAAGAAGTGAAGGAGGAGAAAAAGGATGAAAAGTCAGTCTTTAATCCCCTGAGTAGTGCAGCCATGGCAAAAATTGCTCTGGTAAGTTTTAAATAAAAGTTAGTGGTTAATTTTATTTGTAATTATATTTTCTGTGAAGGAGATTTTTACCCATGGGTTATGTTGATAGTCTTAGATTGTATTTTCCTATTAGTGTCCATGGAGGACCAGATCTAGCTCCGAGACTTGCAAATGAGCTATTTATACTTTTATTTAAAATTTATTAAAAAAAATTACTGTATATCCAATCTACTTTCAAAAGTCTTAATTTCTTTTCTTCTATTGCAGGGTTTGCGTGCCAAGGTTCATGCTTTACTGGACAAGGAGAGCAAATTGTGAAGTCCAACACATCAGCAAATTGTAGAATAGTATGATGTCCAGAGTTTGTGATATAGATTGTCTTCGGTGATTGCTTGTGGTGAAACCCACAAGGGTAATTTCATTATCACAAATTTTCTATTTAAAAGTTTTCATTATTACTAATATAAATGCAGTGTATGTATATATATATGTACATATTTTTTTCACTAAGCATTCTTACTTTAAGTGACTTTTGGATAGTTTATTCATTGACTTGTAGGGGGTTTTGTAAAAAAAATAATAAATGTGATTTTATAAGCTGTTTTTGCTGGCCTATAAGTCGGGCCTGGCCTCATGCCGGGCTCATGGGCGTAGAAGAACTCCTGAAACACACTGCAGGTGTAAGTAATCATAATTGGACATGTTAAACTGTGTGCCTGCCAACCCTTTCAGGCATAGTCAGTGGGACAATTGTGTTACGGGAATGAAGCTGATAGTGAAGTTGTTTGAATATTTGTTCTGTAGACATTCATAAGTGTTAGTTTATTACACCAGGGTGCTTCCATCTCGGTTGGATACACTGTTGACAATGTCACTGTTAATTTGGAAAATGTTTTGTGGTAATGTGATCAATTTGGATGTTAAAATTTGTTTAGCAAATGGTTGCATTTCACATTATTAATCTGTTCCACATTATTTCCTGTTTTTATTCTTCCAGTCCTAACCAATGAATTATTTGTCAAAAGTTGTAAGCCTAATTGTTAATTATTTTAAAATGAAAAGTATAAGATATTAAACCTGCAACATTATAAAATATACTGTACTTGACTACAATACTTCAAATATTTATTGGCTTATAACAATATTTCATACACCCAGGGTACTGTAATTACATTAAAAAATCATTTTCCTTTCAATAAATACTTTTAAAACTGCATAGTTCAGAGCTAACATGACTGATTCAATACAATTAGTCATTCAGCCATATAAACAATTTCAGTCTATAGTGTGTCCTGTGAGTCATGAACACAATCACTGCAGATAATTAAAAATTGGTTCATGGTACACAAATAAAGAGGAGGTATCCAGTCATATTGGTTGACCCAAGTCATCTTTGGACAATTTGGTTTCAAATTACTGTTATTTTGAAACTTAATGATCTGGTACAGGCCAAAATAGTCACTGGTTTAGCTTTACCTTTGGTAAAAGGTAAGGATGAATACAAAATTTCTCATATATATACATGTGTCGTACCTAGTAGCCAGAACTCACTTCTCAGCCTACTATTCAAGGCCCGATTTGCCTAATAAGCCAAGTTTTCATGAATGTTTTTTCGTCTACCTAACCTAACCTAGCTTTTTTTGGCTACCTAACCTAACCTTACCTATAAATATAGGTTAGGTTAGGTTAGGTAGGGTTGGTTAGGTTCGGTCATATATCTACGTTAATTTTAACTCCAATAAAAAAAATTTGACCTCATACATAGAGAAAAGGGTTGCTTTATCATTTCATAAGAAAAAAATTATAGTAAATATATTAATTCAGGAAAACTTGGCTTATTAGGCAAATCGGGCCTTGAATAGTAGGCTGAGAAGTGAGTTCTGGCTACTAGGTACGACACATGTACACACACAGGCACATATATAATATATATGTAATAATATATAGTGTGTACTCGCCTATTTGTGCCTACAGGATCGAGCATTGACTCGTGGATCCCACCTTTCTAGCCATCTGCTGTTTACAGCAAGGACTCCGGTCCTGTTTCACTATCATATCCAGTTTTAAAATTGGGTAGAGCTTGCTTCCACAACCTGCTCCTTAAGTTCATTCCATTTTTCTACTACTCTCGCGCTAAACGAAAACTTCCTAACATCTGTGACTCGTCTTGAGTTTCCAGCTTCCACCCTGCTGGAAGAACCATTATATAATATATATATATATATATATATATATATATATATATATATATATATATATATATATATATATATATATATATATATATATATATATATATATATATATATATATATATATATATATATATATATATATATATATATATATATATATATATATATATACAGTATATATAATTATATTTGTGTGCGCACGCGTGCACCTAGTTGTGCTTGCGGGGGTTGAGCTTAGTCAGGAAGCAGCCCGTAGCAGATGTCTAACTCCCAGGTACCTATTTACTGCTAGGTGAATGAACAGGGGCATCAGGGTGAAAGAATCTGCCCATTTGTTTGTGCAGGGGATCGAACCCGGTCCCTTAGGACTAAGAATCCCAAGTGCTGTCCACTTAGCTGTCAGGCCCCCCATGACTGTATGTGTGTGTGTGTACTCCTGAGGGGGGTGACCAGGCTCACCAGTACTCTTCTGGATGACCCACTTCTCCATTGCACTAGGCAGAGTTCATGAGTGAGACGCCAGCCCCACACCACAGAACATGAGCCATGTTTTGCCTCTTGAGCATCCTGTAGAACTTCATTTCCCTCTTCCCTCCCATTACCTCTTTGATGGTAAGTAAGAATGTGTGTGTGAATTTCTATGAACACAACCTCTTGGAGAACTCGCCATTTTAAACGGAACAATAAAAAATATTGTATTCGCAGGGGTGGATAAACATAATATTCAAAGTGAGGTATGCCACAATGATGGTTTCATACTCTTAAAAGCACCAAATACTATTCTATGTGTAACACAAGGTCAAGTACCCAGTGATGCTTGGTAAAAAATGAAGGTCACTGCCTTCATAGCTAAAACTGTCTTCAATATATGCTATATCACTATAATCATCTAATACACCTTTATCACTTTACTATACAGACCCTCATAACTGTAACCAAGGTTTCTCTTGATTCTGGGAGTTCCCAACACTATTGTATAGAAAATATGCCAAGTGAATCTTGGCGAGGCTAGTTTGGTATATATCGATGTTGAAATTTGGTATTAGAGGTGGGGACACCAGTCTTTCTGCAAAGTTTGGCAAGCCTGGCTCAAAGTGTCTGGCCTCCAACTTAGGAGACAGACTCCTATTTTTATAGGTATGGATTACTCCTCAAATTCCTCTTCAAAACAGATAATATGTGGAAGTTTGAAAATGTAAAGAACATTTAAAGAACATTTTCTTTCTGCATAGAAACATTTAGGTATTTGAACTACTGAGATCACTTTAATGGCAAATTTAGAAAACTCTGGGAGGGCAGTTTCCAAATCTGCAATAAAAGTATGCAGGATTCATGAAGCAGTTGTGCAAGAACCTATGAAACGTTTCGTTCTTGGCGGTTACGTCGTGATTCGACAAACTGTTTACGAATGCTGATCATCCTAAGAACACCGCTTGATACCAAGACGGCTCCAGCAGAGCACTTACAACTTTATATAAACTGTACACAAGTAAAGCTTTCTCAATTACGTGACCAGTAACTCGACATATACTAGTACCTATTTACCTGTGGCTCATGTCAGTTGTCAATTATTTTATTAATCAGAGGCCTACATATTAAATTATTCATGGCAAATTGAATACAATTTTTAAGTTTTTGAATACAGCACTTACCACATTCAAATAGTTTACACGATACTTTGAAATCACTTGCTCATATGGAAAATGTAAAATAAATACTGTATCCTTACCCCACCTATTCCAGTATTTATGCATTGTAGTACAGATTTTAATGTCATTGAATTTATTTTATTGTTAACAGGACATATCTTATACTGTTAGAATTTCATCTAAAAAAATAATGGTCATAAAGTAAGCATGGCCTTGGCTAGGTACTTGACATTATTAAATAATTATTATATTTAGGTTATGGAAATCCCATGTTTATAATTTTATATATCTCAATACTTTTTGATTTGCTAATGTATGTCTGCTATTTCAAGCATTATTAATTTACTTAGATTTTAATTAATTAAAAAAAATCTTATTTTTTCTAAAAAAAAAACTTCAAAATAAGGTGGAAAAGGTAGACAGACAACTTTAAATGTTCCCCGTTTTATAAAGTATCTATTGTCATAAGAATTGTAAAAATTGCCATTGTTTGCAGTTTTTTCTTTGGTATCAGATGGGCATGAGCTTTGGTCAACATTGGCATTTTATATATAATACATAATACTGTATTACTTGACAGTAGTTTTTCCTTGTCATTTTTAATTTACTTACTTTTTGTGTCAAATAAGTCATTTATGAAGGAACAACTATTTATAAATAATGTTATAGAATGAATAGTTAATTTGTTAATAAAATAAAATGTGAAGCTAAATATTTCTAATAGATGAGTTGTTTATGAATAATATATTTTGTAGGTTTTAAAATTCTATGCTTACCTAACCAATGATCATTCAGATGTAATTATCTTTTATCAAAGTTGCAAAGAAATAAGTAAAAAATTAAAAAAAAAAAAATATATATATATATATATATTATATTATATATATATATATATATATATATATATATATATATATATATATATATATATATATATATATATATATATATATATATATATATATATTATATTATATATGTATATATATATATATATTATATATGTATATATATATATTGGGCTTACGATATTGAAACTTCTAAATAATCCTTTATTACATCAACAATCCTTGGGATTGAGTGAGAGGCCACTCAACTGCACGATAGTTATTAAGGTCGTGGCAATAGCTCACTGACCAACTAGTAAGTATACTTTATTCCTAAACGTACTCCGAGATTAAAGTAAACTATACATCGATAAATGGGGCACACATTTGGGTGTATATGTCATTTTCATACACATAACACTAGTCCTTTAACGTGGTTCTCTCTCTCTTCAATAATATTTAAAACTCTTGGAATTATATAAGGCCTCCACAGGGGTTTATTGGCCAACTAGCAATTATAGAGTAACAATCGTCCAGGACTGACCGAAACGTTTGATGGTGCTACATAGCCTTCCCGGTTTGGTGCCTTCTATTGATAATTACTTACTTAGAGTGGTTACATGGTAGGTACAGTATTTGTATATTTTATAAAGCCACTTTGTGACCACTATAAACAGAAGATTATGAAAAATGAAGGCAGCTACATTATTTAATATTGTGACCGAAACGTCGTTTCTCCATTTTCAGATATGTTGGTTTTCAATTACGTTACTTTATTCCTGAACATAATTTAGGGATGAAAAAACTAACTATATACCGGGTAAACCGATAATTAGTGGTAAAAAAATTTGTGAATATCTGTACTAATTTTGTGGACATACATCAGCGTATGTAACTCGTCCGTGATTGGTCAGTTGTCTAGCTGAGCCGGTAACGTGATTGGGTAAGCGATACGATAAGAAAATTACCTTCACTCTGATTGGTCAAACAAAAAGCAGTAGTGACTTCTGCCGAGCAGCAGTTGACTCAGTATTTGTTGCAAGAATACCTTGGTGAATCGCGCGTTGTGATCTCTTTGGCAGTGTTTTTAAGAACGTTCGTAACACAGTGACGTAAGAAACACAGTAGTTTGTGAATGTGTAGGTCGTGTTCCTCCATTGTACCCATTGGGGTCTCTGTCCTACCGTTAGGAAAGTAGTCTTCAGCGGCCTGGCGCACTCAACACCTGAGGTCACAGGTAAGTTGATAGAGTTTCTCCGTTTTGGTTCATCGGGAGAGGTATAAAGACTGTCCGGCAGCTGCTTGGCCGAGAGGTGCAAGTGGGGGGGGGGGGGGGATGGCAGGTCCTGCTCTTCAGGTCACGGGAAGAAGTTTTTGCGTATTTGCTATTTGGTTACGAGTTCAGGAGCGGTCATTGCGTTTCTGCAGCAACTATATTTGACTACCCAATAGTTTGTGTGTGTGTGTGTGTGGTGGTGGTGGCCGGCGCCTGCCTCCCTGTGGGACTGTTGGGGCTCCCCAACCACTGCCCACCAGTGTGCTGATCTGCCGCAAGGCACATTTATTTCCACCGATAGGCGGCGGGTACGTAGCCTCAGCGCTTTGAATTTTACCCTTTAAGGGAACATCGTGGCCCCAAAATCAAGCAAAAAGTCGAGAATACTCATAGGACTTACATCGTTTCACCACATCATACTCGATACTCGTATCTATGTTGTCCAAAGTAATGACGAGATTTTGTGATTTGAAAACCACAAAAACGCGTAACTATATTGGGTCTATTTCCCAGAGCTGCGGAAGTGCTGCCTGTCTAGACTAAGAGTTTGTAGCTTACTGTAGAAGGTCACTAGATATATCACGTTATTGCGATTTCATTTTTTGTGCACTAGATCCGTTCTGATTAATATCTTAAGGATAAGATACGCTAGTGATCGTTCCAATATCCAAGTTCAGGCCTACCCCGAACAGCCTATGTCCGTCATGTCGTAGACCATTTCCCCAACAAATTTGGGTGAAGGCTAACCCTCAAACGTCTGTCCTCCAACCTTGGGCATAAACACAGACCTCGGTACTTGGAATTGTAAAGTGTTTCAAATACAGCCTGAAGACCATTTCAATTTCTATCTATATTCCATCATTTTATATCAATATATTTAAGAGAATGTCTGTTTGCCTAATTAGGCTGTCAGACTTCGACCTGGCCTCACGAAATTTTGCAGAATGGTCTGGGTTGCGGGCAGTACAGAGGGTGGGAAAGTTGCAGCCCCACGTTCCCTCTTTGCATTAAACAGCAAATTCCATCAGTTTCCACTCTCGTTAAGATTAATCTAGCATATTAAATGTTCCAGTGGAAGGTGGTGAAGGCAGTACTAGCAAGATAGGAAGAGAGTGGGGAAGAGGGGGGGAGAGAGAGAGAGTGGGCAAGAGGGGGGGGGGGGGAGAGACCCGGGCGTAACCGGATAATACTATTATATATAATATGTCGTACCTAATATCCAGAAAGCACTACTTGGCCTAGTATGCAAGGCCCGATTTGCCTAACAGGCAGTCTTTTCGTTATTTGCAAATCTTTTCAAATAGGTTTATTTTAATTGATATTTTTTTTTTAGATATATACAAGAGTTGTTACATTCTTGTACTTATATTATAATATTATATTATATTATAATATATTATAATATTCTTATGTACTTATATTATAATATTATTTTAAGAACATGAATTACTGACTTTGTTAGGTTTGATCAAATGTCTAAGTTAGTTTTAACTCAAAAAACTAAAATCATGTATAATGGAAAGCTTTATCATTCTATAATAATGAAATAAAAAAATATATATAATTTCAAGAAAAATCGGCTTGTTAGGCAACGTAGTCTATTAGGTAAAACACACACACACACACACATTATATATATAATATATACATATATATATATATTATATATATATATATATATTAGTATATTTTGGTAGCAGTCTTTCCTGTAGACATATTTTATTAAATATGACCGAGAAAGTAAGATTAATAATTCTAACACGAATTTTCTCAATCTTTCGTACATTATGCTTCACTGTTGGAGGTAAATCAAAAATCACTTCTCCAAAATTCATTTTTATTTCTAGTCTGATGCGACACGGGCGCGTTTCGTAAAACTTATTACATTTTCAAAGACTTCACAAATACACAACTGATTAGAACTTGCGTTTCCCTGATTTTATATCTACATTTGAGTGAGGTGGGAAGGGTGATGTGGCATTACATTTGAGTGAGGTGGGAAGGATGATGTGGCATTAGAGGATATTAATAGGGTATTAAAAGTATCAACACAAGACAGAACACGAAACAATGGATATTGAATAGAAGTGTTTGTAGAAAGCCTATTGGTCCATATTTCTTGATGCTTCTATATTGGAGCGGAGTCTTGAGGTGGGTAGAATATAGTTGTGCAATAATTGGCTGTTGATTGCTGGTGTTGACTTCTTGATGTGTAGTGCCTCGCAAACGTCAAGCCGCCTGCTATCGCTGTATCTATCGATGATTTCTGTGTTGTTTACTAGGATTTCTCTGGCGATGGTTTGGTTATGGGAAGAGATTATATGTTCCTTAATGGAGCCCTGTTGTTTATGCATCGTTAAACGCCTAGAAAGAGATGTTGTTGTCTTGCCTATATACTGGGTTTTTTGGAGCTTACAGTCCCCAAGTGGGCATTTGAAGGCATAGACGACGTTAGTCTCTTTTAAAGCGTTCTGTTTCGTGTCTGGAGAGTTTCTCATGAGTAGGCTGGCCGTTTTTCTGGTTTTATAGTAAATCGTCAGTTGTATCCTCTGATTTTTGTCTGTAGGGATAACGTTTCTATTAACAATATCTTTCAGGACCCTTTCCTCTGTTTTATGAGCTGTGGAAAAGAAGTTCCTGTAAAATAGTCTAATAGGGGGTATAGGTGTTGTGTTAGTTGTCTCTTCGGAGGTTGCATGGCTTTTCACTTTCCTTCTTATGATGTCTTCGATGAAACCATTGGAGAAGCCGTTATTGACTAGAACCTGCCTTACCCTACAGAGTTCTTCGTCGACTTGCTTCCATTCTGAGCTGTGGCTGAGAGCACGGTCGACGTATGCAGATACCCACACCCACGTACAGATTGGCAAAGCGACTCAACGGCCTGCTGACTCCTTATGTTCCTTGCGCCTTCAGCCTGAAGTCTCCAAAGGAATTTGTGGACTTACTGCGGGGCGCACGGGCCACAGGGATAAGAGCCTCGTTGGACGTAGAATCGCTGTTTACCAACGTACCTGTGGACGAGACAATCGGAATGATAGCCGACAGAGTGTATCGTGATCCAGCCTGTACTCCTCTTGACATGCCAGAAAGTATTCTGAGGAAACTACTCCAAGCTTGTACTAAAGAGGCACCCTTCTTGAGCCCGGATGGGCATATGTATAAGCAAGTAGATGGGGTCGCTATGGGTTCTCCCCTAGGTGTCCTGTTTGCAAACTTCTACATGGGTACCATCGAGCAAAAAGTCTTAGTCGACATGAACTTGAAACCGGCCATATACTGCAGGTATGTTGACGACATTTTTACACAGGTACCTGATGTCAGACATCTGCAGGAGCTGAAGGAGGCATTTGAGCAGAGTTCCGTGCTGCGTTTCACTTACGAGACGGAAAAGGATGGGAAGCTGCCTTTTCTAGATGTAACAGTCATGGAAAAGGGCGGAGGTTTCCACACTGCAGTCTACACAAAGGAAACAAACATAGGAATGTGCCTAAATGCCAACAGCGACTGCCCTGACAGGTACAAGAGTGTTGTTAACGCATACGTCGACCGTGCTCTCAGCCACAGCTCAGAATGGAAGCAAGTCGACGAAGAACTCTGTAGGGTAAGGCAGGTTCTAGTCAATAACGGCTTCTCCAATGGTTTCATCGAAGACATCATAAGAAGGAAAGTGAAAAGCCATGCAACCTCCGAAGAGACAACTAACACAACACCTATACCCCCTATTAGACTATTTTACAGGAACTTCTTTTCCACAGCTCATAAAACAGAGGAAAGGGTCCTGAAAGATATTGTTAATAGAAACGTTATCCCTACAGACAAAAATCAGAGGATACAACTGACGATTTACTATAAAACCAGAAAAACGGCCAGCCTACTCATGAGAAACTCTCCAGACACGAAACAGAACGCTTTAAAAGAGACTAACGTCGTCTATGCCTTCAAATGCCCACTTGGGGACTGTAAGCTCCAAAAAACCCAGTATATAGGCAAGACAACAACATCTCTTTCTAGGCGTTTAACGATGCATAAACAACAGGGCTCCATTAAGGAACATATAATCTCTTCCCATAACCAAACCATCGCCAGAGAAATCCTAGTAAACAACACAGAAATCATCGATAGATACAGCGATAGCAGGCGGCTTGACGTTTGCGAGGCACTACACATCAAGAAGTCAACACCAGCAATCAACAGCCAATTATTGCACAACTATATTCTACCCACCTCAAGACTCCGCTCCAATATAGAAGCATCAAGAAATATGGACCAATAGGCTTTCTACAAACACTTCTATTCAATATCCATTGTTTCGTGTTCTGTCTTGTGTTGATACTTTTAATACCCTATTAATATCCTCTAATGCCACATCATCCTTCCCACCTCACTCAAATGTAATGCCACATCACCCTTCCCACCTCACTCAAATGTAGATATAAAATCAGGGAAACGCAAGTTCTAATCAGTTGTGTATTTGTGAAGTCTTTGAAAATGTAATAAGTTTTACGAAACGCGCCCGTGTCGCGTCAGACTAGAAATAAAAATGAATTTTGGAGAAGTGATTTTTGATTTACCTCCAACAGTGAAGCATAATGTACGAAAGATTGAGAAAATTCGTGTTAGAATTATTAATCTTACTTTTTCGGTCATATTTAATAATATATATATATATATATATATATATATATATATATATATATATATATATATATATATATATATATATATATATATATATATATATATAATATATGGAAGGGAGTACCACCTCTAGCTGGAAGAAGCTGGGATAATATATATTATATATATTATATATATTTATATATGTGCTTGTGATTATTCGTTGGTGATCTAATACGATGATTGTAATTTCGTTACTGTTAAATTGGAAGTTTGCTTCTTGAGACTATTTCTGGGTTTAACTTGTAATGTAAGGTTAAAAAAGGACCCATTAATAGTTTCTTATATCTTCAAATACTTTATTTACACAAAGATAATGCTGGAGAACATGGAAAATGAAAATGTCTTGCTTAAAGTGCTACACCTTCAGCAAAGTGGCTACGTCCCTGGAATGTACGAACACCATGACAACACAGCGAGGACTAGGCTAACTTACATTGTACTCTCTTACCATACTTCACTGTACATAATTCGGTGGACTGACGCTTCTATCGACAGGATACACTTGTAACGCAATTTTGTACTAACACGCATAAAGCTGCGTGTTTATTATTGCTTGGTATTGGGCCAGAGAATGGTGGTGTGGTAGCACACAAGAACACCCACAGGGAATGTGGGTGTGGGTGTGTGTTGTGTGGGTGGGTGGTGTGTGGGTGTTGTGTGTGTATGGGTGTGTGTGTGGGGGGGGGGGAGGTGAATAACACATTCTCCCCCCCCCCACTTGAACTTAAGTTTTTTTGGGGGGGAGGAGGGGGTGAGAGGACATAACTGGCAACTTTCTCCATGAGATACAAAATTGTATTATGCATGATACTTGTATCTTATGTTGTCCAAAGTAATGACGAGATGCCCGTGATTTGAGTCACAAAAACGTGTAATTATATTGGGTCTACTCCCAGAGTAACTTTACAAGTTAGGAAGGTCCGTATAGTATGTTATATTTTGAAATGTGGATGATGTTGGTTTAATTTCAAATATAGATAAGGCATGATACATCCTTCACCAGTGATATGAACTATGTCTCTCGCTTTGATTAAAAAGAATTGGGATGGTTAATACTTTTTAAAAGTTGACAATCACAAAGTTGAGAATAGGGTATATTTGATAGGCTTCGCATGTAAGACCGTGATAAAACTTAACAGTTAATTACACTGGCTAGTTGCTTACGCAGGGAAAATAAGGTAAAATGATGGTGGAAAAAAAGCGGGAAGTTAAGAGATCAGGTACGTCACAATTTATTTTTAAATCAGCTTTAAGGTAGAACCACTAACTTTAGGTAGCACCCCGGATTCAAATATCCTATATGAATCAGTTTTCAAATAGACTATTTGAATCAGCAAGTGGGGTAAACTTTTGCTTTCCCACTTGCTAAACTGACTCGAAGAAAATGTAAATTGTGGCATACTTGATCTTTCAACTTGGATCTGGCTAAACATACTTGAGTAATGTTTAATCAACAGACGATCAACGTTGATCAATTTATAGCCTCATCCCCCGCCTTCATACCATCTTTTCCCGTGATAATTAGCTGGCCTGTGTATATTGGATTTGGTGAAACCCTAACGGGCTAAACCTCATCTCAATTAATGTCTACCATCTACTGGGTGTCTATGTATTGTTGTTAAGATTTTGTACTATGTCCAATCTCTCTCGATGGAAGAGGATAGTCCCACACCTCTGAAAGAAAGGAGGTAGTCCATACCTATTGAGAATGGAGACCTCGTAGGAATGTGAATGGCCATATAATTTTTAAATAAACGAGGCATCCTAACCTATCTTTAAGGAGAAACTTCCAAACCTTGTAAATTGGGATAAAGCTCTCAGCCAGCTTCTTCACGGTCACCTAATTAGGGTAAAGCGAAATTGAACTCTGTGATGAAATTTAAAATTTGTGACTCAGCGAAATTGAACTTGAAATTGAACGAAATTCAAACTCTAATTGAACTCCTAACCTTAAGTGGGGTCAAGCTTTTAAACTTAATTTGATGACAATGTACAATAACCCTTCGTAAATTAAGAACACAATTAAAATCGGGACCAAGGCCCAAACGAGAGAAGTTAACACACCTTTTGAAACAAGCGAATTCTTCCATTCACCGAACTATTACGAAGTGAACCATTTTTAAGCGAACTATTACGATATTGGGGGAAAAAAATAGACAATATGCAAACCCTGTCTGATATTTACACACAAATTTGGGATATACATAAAATATATAATAATGTAATCACAAGTTTTCTTAGTGCTCGCTGTCGCATACTATAATTAACAATGTTATGGAACTTCTTTTGCCAGGATTAGCACACGCTACTCTTATGTTGTCGACAAGACACAAAATAAATATGTACATTTCCAAGTCACCAAAGTATAGCCTCTTGTATAACTTAAATAACCGAGGCACATTACCCATACTTCTCTCTCTCTCTCTCTCTCTCTCTCTCTCTCTCTCTCTCTCTCTCTCTCTCTCTCTCTCTCTCTCTCTCTCTCTCTCTCTCTCTCTCTCTCTAACCAACTATTGTCTTATATATTTAGTAACACCATCCAAGTGTCCCGGAAAACTAGTTTAGCAGGCACGGCTATTGTCACTTTATATCAATATACTTAAAATATTTATTGTACACACATACACACACACACAATGGAGTGGCGGTCCTAAAGAGCCAGAGCTCAACCTCCGTAAGCACAACTAGGTGAGTACACACGCAACATACAACCAGAAACACTCTATATCCAGTCAGGATGTCAGCAAATGATGTCATCGTGTGGTCTAGTGGCTGGTTGACTCGAGCTCATCCCTAAGGGGGACTTCAGGGCGGTTTTTCACTCGGCCCCCTCGGCTGTTCTCTCTTGAAGAATTAGCGTTTCTCTTATGAACAACGACTTGCTGCTTGTATCTCGCTGCCACGAAAGTCAAACGATACCAACTTTTACCACAGAATATTGTTCTTGACTAACTTTTGCACTGGAAAAGTTTAAAAAGTACCATTGAGACTGCTTTTCACACGAATATTCACTCATCCATTAGTTTATTATTTATTATTGTACACTATTTTTGTTGTCTATGTTTGATATGTCGGAAGTTAGACAGGGTTCAGCGCGTCGCCGCTTACCCCTGCCCTCCGGCACCTATGTTCCAATCAGCGCTGCAGAGAAGCTGGAGCCTGTTCCCACCTGCAGCGGCCTCCTGGTGGGGGTAGAGAGCGTTACCTTTAGATATCATGAGGTGGTTCATTAGGAATAAGTCGCGGTATCTTAGCTGAATCAAATATACATTGCATACAGTAAATCGCAATACCGTGGCTGAAAATTGAACACCCAACGTATACATACATTAAAGGGTCGCCTTAGTACATTTGGCTTCGTTCTCGACTCACAATCGTGAATCCTGGGAGGGACAGAAATGCTTGTGCACGTTTCTTATCACCTGATGCCTCTGATCATCTAGCAGTTAATAGTTCTTCATCTAGGAGTCAGCTTGTTGTGGGGTTGCATCCTGGGGAGGGTCAGGAGTGCCACTTTGAAGGGAGGGGGGGGGGGGACTCATTAAAAGCCAAACATATATATATGCACAGGCTACCTATCCCTGACAAAACAATTAAATTAACAATAACTACCTGACATTAAAGAAAGTGACGATGTTTCGGTCGGTCCTGGACCATTATCAAGTCGTGTAAAGAGTGACAGAGAAAGTCGAAAAGGTTGAAGTATACCATAGGAGTTAAAATGAATAAAGAAAATGCCGAAGACCTAATAGGAAAGGGAAAGAGGTGGAGACAAAAGAGATAGCAAGATAAGAAAAAGAAAAGAAAGCCTAAAGGGGTTAAAGTCAAGTTAGCTCACGTTTGTTAAAAACTGTTATTAAAAACACATACAATTACCATAAACTTGGGGCACTCTTGGGGGGGGGGGAGGAAGAGGAAGAGTAACTTTTAGGTTACCATTGATGACCAGGCTATAGCTGTCATCAATGCCAGATATAAAACTAGAGTCCCTTAGTTTACATTGGCTAACCATCCTAAATAATGTTAGGCAACATAGTAAGCTGACAAGAGCTTAGAGTATGAGCTTAGAGCAACACGTTAGACCGTGCAGCTAGGTTGATAAGATAGGGAAGAACGTACTTGGTGCGGTTGTCAACAGCGAGGAGAAGCGTGTCTCCCCGTAGCAGGAGGAGGTGGCCAGCCAGCACGGCCGTGACGGACCCCTCGCCCAGCGCGCCTGACCACTCCAGCCGTCGACTGTTGATGTAAAGGTACGCAGAATTATAACTAATGTTGTTTTTGACGGGCTCACCATAGCCTATGCTACTGGAACTTCTTGTTCTGAGTAGCTAAATCTAAAACAACAACAACATAACTAATGTTAGTCTGAGAAGCTTAAAATTGCCTATAGCAGCGTCATATACGCTATAATTAACACTTTGGAGTTCTGTATGATGGTGCATGTATTACTCCGTCTTAGATTTTGATTGTTGCCCCTCCGGCGGCAACAATCAAATGGTATTATACCCCTATACTCATACATATTGTGCACCCCCATACTCATCTTGTGAGCGGTAGCGCAAAAAAGGATTACAGAGGGCACAAAAGGTCTTTATCAGACCTCAACTTAGATTATTACATAAAGAATTTCATCTATGCTTCTCACCTTATAATTATAATGTCAGCTAGTTACAGAGAATGTTCTATTTTAAGAGCTATTTATTTATAGTTAATCATTATACATACATGGTAAGTCTTATCGCTTATAAATAACTGAGCAATGGAGATATTACAGAGTCGTAGGGGAGCTGCTGTTTATTAGTATTAGTCTTCACAATACACTACTTGTTTCTTAATCTCATATGTCGTTTATCTACTGGAAGCGAAAATGGATACAATGCAAGGATTTCAGGTATTTTATCCTTGGTAATAAGATAGGTTGCCATTTCATACAGCGTGAGTTTAGATTTATCTGTAAATGGCTCAATTTTATTACAGTCCAAGATATAATGTTCGAGTGTGTGTCCCTGTCTTTGTCCACACACTTTACACTTTACTTCATCTAGATCCCTATACAAGCCCAACTGCCAGAGATACTTGTAGCCAAGTCTTATTCGAGCTGTGACAACGTCTGTTATCCTGCTGATTGTGTTACTTGCCCCATACCAGGTTTTACTCGACACATTTCATTGTGATGAACAATGGACCTGAAGGAATCCACGACATTTAGATATTTACCCTCTTGCAGACGAGGAGTCACAATAACGTGGCTGAAACATGTTGACCAAACTACACACTAGAAAGTGAAGAGACGACGACGTTTCGGTCCGTTCTGCACCATTCTCAAGTCGATCTCGCACTCGACTTGAGAATGGTCCAGGACGGACCGAAACGTCGTCGTCTCTTCACTTTCTAGTGTGTAGTTTGGTCAACATTTGCCCCCTTATTAAGTATGCTTATATGTCTACGTCTGGCTTCTGAGACAAACACGTTATTACTTAATTGTAAACTATTTATTGTTAGTAGTGAGGAAAGTGAGTCAGAAATAATTAAGCTGTCTACTTCAGTGTTGTCAATAATTCTGAGTGCTACCAGTTTTGCTGCCAGTCAGCTTGCATTGGGGATGCCCAGTTACTAACTCTTATATTCCTTTGAATTGTGCTTCCATCGGGTTGATGAGCAATAACAGCACTTCCTGCCCTCCCTGTAGCTGTATTGAGTGATCCGTCAGTGTATATAGTCTGTGTGATGATGTTTTTAGTCATTCAACCTGTCCTACAAAGAACGTGGCATTTCGCTCGTATGCGTTACATAAAGCCAAAAATTATCGTACTTGAAAATGGAAGCGGCTCGCAAAATTGACGTTCTGTCCCATTTTCTGTTTTGGGTCAGAATTTGGGTTTTGGTTTTTGGTTGTTATTAGCTTAGCTAAACGAACTAGAGGGTTCAGTTCCTGAACCGATTATGTGCCTCTGTAATCCTTTACACCACCGCCCACGGGATGGGTATAGGGTGCATAATAAAGACAAAAATTGAATTTTTGGTAGGTTAGGGGAGGACACTTTCCATGGACCGTTTTCTTGACGTTGGGAAACCTTAGGAGGCTGGTACATTAGCCTAGTGCTCTCAACTATTTTCTATTTCGAAATACTGGTTATAATAATTTTGTAACTTTTTATTTTATCTCTTATTTGTACAAATAGACGCACTAAGACCAATTGTTCTCTAAATTCTGTCTCCTTCAAATATTTCCTGTGTCGCAACACCAAATTCTGCCAGTACCATTGCTGTGTTGAGGGAAGCAGTAGGAGGAGGAGTCGAACCCTGCTCACTTAATACTCCCAAGCATTTCTCATTGATACATTACGTTAATGTGATTTCACTCATTGATCATACCCATTGATGCTACTGATCATACCCATTGATGCTACTGATCATATCCATTGACACTTGACTATGCCCATTGACACAATTGACCATACACATTGATACTACTGACAATACCCATTGGTATTATTTATCATACCATTGATATTATTGATTTCTAAATTAAAATAGACACAATCTGCTTCTCTGGCTCTTTGTTTCATCAAACAAGTGAACACAATACTGTAGCCTCCTGCAAACTTCCGCCTGGACAGCTGCCCTTCAAGCAGTGTTTACACACAGCTCTCCAAAACTGCTTGCTGTTATCTCTCATCTTTTCGTTCATCCTTCTTCTATATAGGTCATGTTTCATTTATTCATATCAACCATGGCCGTGATGAACGATATACTGACGGCGTTTATAACCGCATTATAACTAACCGAATCGGATAAGTTGTGAATTGAATCTTGTCATACCGAAGGGTGACAGTCTTGGTGCTTGTCACGGAGCTATGCGGGTGGTGACGCTAGGAGAGGGTGGGGCTGTGGGAGACGAATTGGCTGAAGATGTTACGATAGTAAGATGCACCACAGAGGCGAGGCTATCATTTGAGGAGTTGGATGAGGGAGAAGAGGCAAGAGTCATGCTGTATTCAAGCATGGTTTGATGCCTCCATTACGGCCTATTCATGCCCGTGGCACCTCTTGGGTGGCTTAATCTTTATCAATCAATCAATCGATGCCTCCATTCACTCTTTACTCAACACTCGGTCTAGTTTGTAGCTTTGATGTACCGGGGGCGTGGTTCTCGTTGTTATAAATTATTTCGTCGAAAGGTACATATTGGCAACAATCAAAAAAATCTCCCAGTGATATATACTCTTACGCAATCGACTTGATAATGGTCCAGGACGGACCGAAACGTCGCCGTCTCCTCATCTTCTGGTGTGAAATCGACTCACAAAAGTGACGTACTGTCCCGTTTTCTGTTTGAGTCGTCCGGCTTACTCGGTAAGGTTAGGAGAGGAAACTTTCAATTAACGTTTTTCATAACGTTTTGAAACTTTATGAGAATTTCCTGCCCACCTAACCTACTAGAGGACCCTTAACTTACTGTTGTTGAAAAAAAAATCCCAAATTTATTTTCATTTCTTTATTTTCAAATTACATCCACTTTCGGCCATACTGGTAAACGGCCAAAGCGACGTTATTTTTAAGAGGACAGGTTGGTGTAGGTCTAGCTCTCTGATATACTCTTGTTTTGTACGGGTTTACACTCAAGTTGTATAAGTACTGACCTGTTTTTGGTACAGTTGGTGATACAGAGGTAGACGCTGATATCCTTGAGCGGCCTGAGGGGGGTGTTGGGTCTGCCTCGTGGCTGGAGCACCAGTGAGGCTGTCACCTGGTAGATGCCCTTCTTGGTGACGGTGAAGCCGCCGTGCTCCACCACCATCCTCCGCTCAAACACTCCGGGCGAGAACGTCTGCGAAAGGAAGAGATTTCGTAGCGGGACGTCTGTATACTTAGGGGAATTACACAGTTTGGTGTGTACATGACAATTTGGTGTGTACAAGACAATTTGGTGTGTACAAGACAATTAGGTGTGTACATGACAGTTTGGTGTGTACAAAACAATTAGGTCATTACAAGACAGTTTGGTGTGTACAAAACAATTAGGTCATTTCAAGACAGTTTGGTGTGTACAAGACAAGTTGGTGTGTATTGAGGTAATCTGCCTCGAACACTTGAACTTCAATCTCGGGAAACGTTACAAATCCTGTTCTGGAGAATTGAGGTGAGGACGCAAGAGTAAAATTCTCTCTATTTTCCACCTCTGGAAAATTATTTGCTATTATTTGCACATAAACTCTATTGGAAATTATTCAACTACTTAATAAGAAACTGTAACAACAAATTGGTTCAATTTCTCTAATAACCATAAGAAGAATATAATATATAAAATATCACTACCGCTGGGGTAAATTTTTTATGCTTTTATGAAGAAAAATGTGTAGTTCCATACGGCTGACAGATAAGAGGCGGATTTGTTAAGATGCATTCATTGTTTACGAGATAAAATGTGTGAGTAGCAGTATTAGAGCGGGACGTAGCAGAGGGCGTAACCTACGGGCTATTCATGCCCGTGCCTCCTCCTGGTTGGCTTAATCTTAATCAATCATCGAGGGAGTAACTTACTATGGTAAAGGAGTCGACGACGGAGAGAGAAGAGGGTTTGAGGAGCGTGGGCTGCGGGAGTGTGGCAGTGAAGGCCGCCTTCACACGCATTCTGCTCGCCCTGTCGGCTCCCTCGTCTTCTTCAGACACACTAACCTCGTTCAACGTTTTGTTCTGCTGCAGGAAGTCTGTAGGACAAAGACGCGTTGCTTTAGAACCTTCTTGCCAACAAAATGTTCGCCAGAAACGGTCGCTGAGACTCTACCAGGAACTTGGGAGACGTAGTAGCCTCAGTGTTGTAGCCTATTAAGCATTCAATTGTTTTTTCAGTGAACTAAATGGTCCCGCCTAAAAATTGTCTTACAACCACTTTCATTAAACCAGGCAAGGAGAGTGAGACATTCAAGTATGTTTATTGAGACAAGAAATAAATACATCTCAAAGGGATAGAGTAGCTTAGGCTCTTTCTACCCCCTTAAGAGTGAGACATTGGTCAGTCTAACCACAAATTGACTTGATTCATATAACTCAAAACAAATATAATTTTGGGTATACAAAATGATAAGATGACATGCAGTATTGTACCATATGCCTTCACGCTCGTTTAAAGTAATTTACAACATTTAATACATGACAGATTAATACAATTAATAATACAGATTATTTACAACCATTATTCAAACTAATATTAATAGGCAAGGAAATATATTGTAGACTAAAACACATTAGAAGGAAAAAGCCTGAAATTAATTGTTGATCGATAAAATGGTCTAAAAGAAAATGCAGGAACAGCCAACGATGTAATCTTACCTCTGAGGAAGTCCTTAATGTATTCCTCCATCTCTTGTGTGGTGAGAGTTCCCCCGGGTGGTCCAGGGGGCCCTTGGGGACCCCGGCGCCCGGGAGGACCTTCAGGCCCCTCCTTGGGCAAAGGAATTTGGTTCTTTTTCTTTTTATTTCTGTTTTTGCGCTTGCGAGTCTTCTTTTGGCGCTCCGAGTTGAGGATGAAGGCGCGGAAGGTGTCTCTTGGGTTATACACTACAGCTCGCTGTGGGGGAGGAGAGAGAGGGGTTAGGTGGACGGCTGGCAGGGAAGGGGAATGGATTAAATAATTAAATTGTTGTTGTTGTTTTAGATTCAGCTGCTCAGAACAAAAGTGCCAAGTAGCACGGGCTATGGTGAGCCCGTAGTGGACTTACCTGGCACAGGAGCGGGGATGTGTTATTAAACTACTTGATGAACTATATATATATTGTTTATTGTTGGTTTGGGATTTTTGCGCGCGTACACACACACACACACACACACACACACACACACACACACACACACACACACACACACACACACACACAATGTGTGTGTGTGTGTGGGTAAATCGAGTTACCAATGAGTGCACAAGCTTCATACATGGAACTCTGACAGTAGATGGGAGGAAGATTGTGATCCTGGTAATCTACAATCCCCCACCAAACAGTAGAAGACCCAGGCAGGAGTATGATGACAACAACAAAGCATGTATAGATGAACTGCAGAAGGCAGCAACACTAGCCCACAGAATGAGAGCGAAGCTGCTGATCATGGGGGACCTAAATCATGGAGAGATAAATTGGGAATCAAGGAATCCCCATGGAGGGGACGAAACGTGGGGAGCAAAATTAGTAGATGTTGTAGACAGGAATTTCCTGACACAACATGTGAAGGAAGACACAAGGGAAAGAGGAGGAGATGCACCGAGCCTATTAGACCTGATTTTCACCCAGAACGTAGAAGATATCGAGAATTTAGAGCATGAAATACCTCTAGGGGCCAGTGACCATTGTGTCCTAGTCTTTGACTACATGATGGAATTCAAACTTATGACCATGGGACAAGAGATCTGGGAAAGGAGAGCTGACTACAGGAAAGGGGACTATATGAGGATAAGGGACTATCTGGGTGAAGTGCAGTGGGAGGAAGAAATTAGAGGAAAAACAGTCCAAGATATGATGGACCTAGTCATACAGAAATGCCAGGAGGCCGAAGAGAGATTTATACCAACGGTAAAGGGAAAAAATAAGAAGGAATATAATAACCCATGGTTTAATAGACAGTGTCAGGAAGCAAAAATGGCCAGCAGACGGGAGTGGAGGAAGTACAGAAGACAAAGAACAGAGGACAACAGAAGCAGATACAACAGAGCTAGGAACGATTACATTAACATAAGACGAACATCGGAAAGGGACTATGAGAACGATATTGCAATCAAAGCGAAAAAACAACCCAAGTTACTACACAGTCATATAAGAAGAAAAATGTCGGTGAACGACCAAGTGACAAGACTAAGGAAGACAGAGGGGGCATATACTGAAAGTGACAAGGAAATCTGCGAGGCACTGAATGCCAGTTTCCATGGAGTGTTCACTACCGAGCCTGAGCAGCTCCCATTGTTGGAAGGGGTTACCCTAGATGAAAGACTATCAGATATAGAGGTGACAGCAGAGGAGGTAATGAAACAGTTGACAACTCTAGATGCAACTAAAGCAGTTGGACCAGACAAAGTATCACCGTGGATACTAAAAGAAGCAGCACAGGCCCTCAGCGTGCCTCTGGCAATGATCTTTAATGAGTCACTTATGTCAGGAGAATTGCCCAGTTGCTGGAAGAAGGCAAATGTCGTGCCGATCTTCAAGAAAGGAGATAGGGAGGAGGCACTTAACTACAGACCTGTATCACTGACAAGCATCCCCTGTAAAATACTGGAAAGAATAATTAGGCTGCGACTGGTTGCACACCTGGAGAACATTAGGTTTGTGAACAAACATCAACATGGGTTCTGGACAGGGAAATCGTGCCTAACAAACCTTCTGGAATTCTATGATAAAATAACGAGGATAAGACAGGACAGAGATGGTTGGGCAGACTGCATATTTCTGGACTGCCAAAAAGCCTTTGATACAGTACCGCACATGAGACTGCTGTTCAAGCTCGAGAGGCAGGCGGGGGTGGGGGGAAAGGTCCTAGAATGGATAAGGAACTACCTAACAGGAAGGAGCCAAAGAGTTACGGTAAGGGGCGAGAAGTCGGACTGGCGAACAGTAACAAGTGGAGTACCACAAGGATCGGTGCTGGGACCAATTCTATTTCTTGTATATGTTAACGACATGTTTACAGGCGTAGAGTCCTACATGTCGATGTTTGCGGATGATGCAAAGTTGATGAGAAGAGTTGTGACAGATGAGGACTGCAGGATCCTCCAAGAGGACCTGAACAGATTGCAGAGATGGTCAGAGAAATGGCTACTAGAATTCAACACGAGCAAATGTAAAGTTATGGAAATGGGACTAGGAGATAGGAGACCAAAGGGACAGTACACAATGAAGGGGAACAGCCTACCTGTAACGACGCGTGAAAGAGACCTGGGGGTGGACGTAACACCTAATCTATCTCCTGAGGCACATATTAATAGGATAACGACAGCAGCGTACTCTACACTGGCAAAAGTTAGAACATCATTCAGAAACCTAAGTAAGGAGGCATTTAGGGCGCTTTACACTGCCTACGTAAGGCCAGTCTTAGAGTATGCCGCCTCATCATGGAGTCCCCATCTGAAGAAACATATAATGAAACTGGAAAAGGTTCAGAGGTTTGCAACGAGACTCGTCCCAGAGCTACGAGGGATGGGGTATGAAGAGCGCCTGAGGGAATTGTGCCTTACGACACTAGAAAGAAGAAGGGAGAGGGGGGACATGATAGGAACGTATAAGATACTCAGAGGAATTGACAGAGTGGACATAGACGAAATGTTCACACGGAATAGTAACAGAACGAGAGGACATGGATGGAAGCTTGAAACTCAGATGAGTCACAGAGATGTTAGGAAGTTTTCTTTTAGCGTGAGAGTAGTGGGGAAATGGAATGCACTTCAGGAACAGGTTGTGGAAGCAAATACTATTCATAATTTTAAAACCAGGTATGATAGGGAAATAGGACAGGAGTCATTGCTGTAAACAACCGATGCTCGAAAGGCGGGATCCAAGAGTCAATGCTCGATCCTGCAGACACAACTAGGTGAGTACAACTAGGTGAGTACACATACACACATACACACACACCAACTCTGCAATTTGTCTGTCATCTTGGAGCATCATACAATCTTCATCTATCTCAACTCTTCTCATTAAGTTTGCATCATCTGTAAACATCAACATATAGGATTCCACTCCTTTGGTTAGGTCATTAACATAACTGAGAAATGCAGATGATGAGTCACAATAACGTGGCTGGAAAATGTTGACCGGACCACACACTAGAAAGTGAAGAGACGACGACGTTTCGGTCCGTCCTGGACCATTCTCAAGTCGATTGTAATGCTACTAATGAGACAAGGGGCATAAAGTAGGCTAGGGAGAGGTGACGTCTCTCTCGAGGTCACCTCTTGAGGAAATACGGGGGGTAGAAATAGCCTAAGCTACTCTATCCCTTTGAGATGTATTTCTTGCTTATCTCAAGAAACATACTTGAACTTGAGGAAATAGTATGAAAGAGAGAGGAGGCATGGTACAAACGTATAAAATACTAAAGGAAATTGTCAAAGTGGAAAATGAGACGTTCAAAAACGAATACAAATAGATACAAAGATGCCAGCTTGAAAATCAGACGTCATATGTATTAGAGTATGGGGTGGGGGGGGGGAGATGAATAAACTAAAAGATAACTATTTTACCATATTCTCTGTTCACAGATAATATGGTGTCCTCTACTAGTGGATAATAAACACATCCTCTGTTCACAGACAATCCCTCTCTCATACCATATACACTTATATTGACCAGACCACACACTAGAAGTTTTTTTATTATTATTATTTTCTACCGCAGACGTGGCCACACATTTACAATGCTAATCAGCATATATACATTTTCTTCTGTCCTCCATGGACAGGGTGAGAGATCAGTTAAACATATAGTTCAGGGATTTATTGAACAATCAACCACAGAAGGTGATTCGGTACTTTTAAAATGCTAAGCTAACCTACATACGTAAATACATAGATACACAGATTTACGTATGCCCTACATAAAGTGTTCGAAGTGTCATTAATGTGCATTTACAAAGGTGAAATGCAATTCTGATCAGCTTCCATATGTACTTTATACACATACATATACATACACACACATATATACGTACATATACATATATACATGCATATATACACACTCACATGCATTCACATACATTTGTCTCTTTTACTCTGACAGGGTGAGATAGCTGACAGAGAAACTAGTGTACAATTAAGCACTTAATCACTGAAGGTGATTAAGGTGCTTTTACAAGCTCGGGTTATATAGTTACATCACATACATACATTGTATAAATGATACATTACATGGTCAATCTTGGATACAAGTCCAATATATCATCAAGTGTTCCAGTACTCGTATAGTAATTACACAGTTCAGCATACCTCAGCCCAGGAGGGCGAAAGTCAGACAATATAGGACATTCTACAATATAAGATGTTGGGGATTCGGGAAGGGGAAAGTTGGAGAGGGTACGAGAGAGGTGAGATAGGGGAAGAGGAGAGGAATGTGTGAGAGAGAGAGTAGATTAAAAAAGAGGGCGAAGACGAGGAAAGAAAAATAAGAGGGAGGGAACGAGACCTGATCACCCCCCCCCCCTCCACACACACACACACACATTATATAAAATATATATATTTATATATATATATATATATATATATATATATATATATATATATATATATATATATATATTACCTGGCACAGTATATATATATATATAATATATATATATATATATATATATATATATATATATATATATATATATATATATATATATATATATATATATATATATATATATATAATATATTATACGGGAGACTCGTCACCTGCACCTCCCTCTCATCCCTCCTTCATCCCCTCTCTACCTTGAGGTTACCTCGAGATGATTTTGGGGCTTAGCGTCCCCGCGACCCAGTCCTCTACCAGGCCTCCTCGTCGCTGGACTGGTCATCCAGGCTGTTGGACCCGACTG